ATGCGCAGCTCCCGCTGCGCCGCCTCTGCTTGTTGCCGTGCCTACCAGGTCGCCTATTACTGTTGAAATGAACGAATAGGAATGATTGAACTAACAGTGAAATCAGTAAAAGTACCTAACCCTAGAATTGTGTACCCCCTATAGGCTAACCCCCTGTAGCCTAAACAAGCACAACACATATAATGTTTGACACACCCCCATAGGCGAAGTGGGGGAGAACTAGGGGTCACAAGACCAGTCAAGCAAAGCAAAGCAAAACAAGCTCAGGGTGGATCACAAAGTCACCACACATTTCGAGCACAAGTTCAAGGCCACAAGGCCAGTTCACATGCAGGGTTACATATATATAAAAGGCTAGACAAGCAAGAGCAGGTATATATATATGTAACAGTACAAGCAAGGTCAAGAGGTGAGCAAGTGAGGCAAGACAGGTACAAGACCCAGCTGGGTGCAGAAGCGCTGATGATCACAAGGCGCAAGTGCCTTGGTGAAGATATCAGCAGTGTTGGCCTCAGAGGCCACGTACGCAAGCCGCAACTGACCACGCTGCTGTAGCTCACGAGCAAGGAAGTAGCGGAGAGCAATGTGCTTTGTTCTGTGCTCCAGTCTTTGCTCTCGGCACAAGGCCAGCATGGCCTTGTTGTCTAAGTACAGGACTGGAGGAGAACGAGGCGGCTCTCCAAGGTCGGTCAACAGTAGGTGAGCCAGCGAAGCTCTTGAGCAGCCATGGCCCCTGCGTAGATCTCAGCCTCACAACTGGAGCCGAGAACACAAGACGAGCGAGTAGCCCGCCACGAAACAGAGCCGGAACCAAGGCTGAAGGTGTAACCCTGTGACGACCGCTGCGTAGCCTGGTATTCAGCCCAAGAAGCGTCTGCGTGACCAGTGAGGACCACTGGACTCCGCCCTCCAAGCACTAGCCCCATGCCCGACGTACTGCACAAGTAGCGCAACACCCTCTTCGCTGCAGCCATGTGCTCTGGTCGGTGTCTCCCAGGAGCAACATAGCGTGCGAGAATGCTAAGAGGCTATGCAAGGTCAGGTCGTGTGCAGGTCATCAGGTACATGAGGCAGCCAACAAGCTCTGGGTACGGGCCACTCGACTCTACGGACTCATCCGAAGGCAGAGCTGAGAGCGAGAGACCTATAGCTACAGGAGTGGCCTGTGCTGAGGACCAGGTGAAGCCGAAGCGCTGAAGGACCTGCTGCACCATGTGTGACTGAGTCCGTGTGATGGTGCGGCGTGCTCTGTCCCGGGTGATCTGCAAGCCAAGGTAGCTGCGCAGTTCACCCAGGTCAGTGCACGTGTGTCTGTTCTGCAGCTCGGACTTCACGTAGGCGAGTCCAGCAGTGTCAGCTGTGGCAAAGACCAAGTCGTCGACGTACACAAGGATGTAGAACGGCGGCAGTGAAGTGTCGGTGCGTAGAAACAGCGACGGGTCGGCAGTAGAGGGAGCAAACCCAAGAGCCGCAAGCGTAGTCCTCAGTGTGTCGTGCCACTCACGCGGTGCCTGGCGGAGACCGTAGACTGGCCGCCGGAGGCTCCACTGGGTGCCAGGAGGAAAAGTCCCAGTGAAGCCAGGTGGGCGGCGCAGCCGAATCTCCTCGTGCAGGCTGCCCTGCAAGAAAGGAGTGCTGAAGTCAAGAGAGTGTAGCTCGTAGTCACGCTGAGCAGCTACGTGCAGTAGTACCCGAAGAGTGGCCATCTTCGGGGTGGGGGAGAAGGTCTGAAAGTAGTCAACTCCCTGCCATTGACTTAAGCCATGAGCCACGTAACGCGCCTTGAAGACAGGCGGAGAACCCGGCGGCCGCTTCACCCTGAAAATCCACATGCCACTGACGATGTTCGCCCCAGGAGGGGGGACAACGTCAACGTAGGTGCCTGTGGACTTCCAGGAAGCCATCTCTGCATCCATAGCTGCCTGCCACTGAGAAGAGTAGGGACCCTCTATCGCCTCCGCGTAAGAGCGCGGAGTCGGGATGTCAAGTGCATCCGGGTCTCCCTCAGGGGTAAGCAGTACGGACACGAGATGAGGTGAAGCAGTGGCCAAGCACTGGAACTCCTCCTGCCTGTCCTCAAGGACGTCCGTGCCAAGGGCACACTCACCCCCGACGGACGGAGGACAGACATACTCAGACTCAGCGACAAGACTAGCAGCGTAGTCTAGACGACAGCGAGCAGCAAAGTCGACGAGCTCAGCAACTAGGGCAGACGCAGTAGTGGACTCAAAAGAAGGGTCAGTGACGACAGTAGCAAGGAGACGCATGACAGTAGGACTAGCAGCACGAAGAGAGTCCGACTCCGGGTCAGCAAGAGCAGGAAGAGAGGACTCAGGAGGAGAAGGCAAAGGGGCACGCAGAGGAGCAGTGGACGGATGCAGAGACATCCGGTGCGTGTTAGGGACAGGAGGAGGACGCTGACGCGAACCACAACCACTAGTGCGAGCAGTACGGACAGGCGACGCAGGGCGAGACGCAGGCTCACGACGCTCAGCAAGACCTCCAGTAGGACTAGTGTAAGGAGAAGGAGCAGGCAGTGGGGAGGCGGGCTGTAGCTGTAACTGTGACAGGACAGGCTGTGGACACTCTAAGGGAGGAGGAGGACCGAGAGAAGGCGGGAGACCAAGAACCTGCTGAAGGAGCGGAACGATGAACGGCCGTTGCCGTGCAGCGACTCCAGAACCAGTAGAGACACCAGCGCCAGGGTCCTCCGCACCAGCAGCAGCTCCAACGCCCGACTCCACAACACCCGCAGCAGCACCAGCTCCAGGGTCCTCAGCACCAGCATCAGCTCCAACGCCCGGGTCCTCAGTACCAGCAGCAGCTCCAACGCCCGGGTCCTCAGCACCAGCAGCAGCACCAGCGCCCGGGTCTGCAGCACCAGCCGTAGCTCCAACGCCCGGGTCCGCAGCACCAGAAACAGCTCCAACCTCTGGGGCCGCAGCACCAGCAGAACCAGTAGAGTCTCCAGCACCAGCAGCACCACCAGCAGCAGCGGGGTCCGCGACACAAGGCGCGCCACTCCGAAGAGTGCAGCGCCGCTCGTACCACTCACGGATCCGCTCACGGGAGGGGAGCTCCCGGCTAGGAGGAGAAGCACTAGCACCAGTCCCAGTAGCACGCCTGGCTCCAGAGGTGCCTCTCTTGAGGCTGCAGTACTGGAAGTACCACTCACGCAGCTGCTCCGAGGAGAGGGCTCCGCCAGGTGTAGGACCCTCAGGCTCAGGACCTCCAGACTCAGAACCCCCAGACTCCGAACTCTGCGGCTCAGCACCCCAAGGCTCAGTAATCCCAGGCTCAGCACCCCCAGGCTCCGCACCCCAAGGCTCACCACCCCCAGGCTCCGCACCCCCAGGCTCCGCACCCCCAGGCTCCGCACCCCCAGGCTCAGCACCCCCAGGCTCCGCACCCCCAGGTTCAGCACCCCCAGGCTCCGCACCCACAGCAGGACGAGAGTCGACAGCTACCTCAACAGGCTCAACCGGGTCTACCTGAGACACACCTGAGGGAGCAGCACCCTGAGGGGGGAGGGGGTCTACGACAGCAACACTTGGCGCGAGGAAGAGAGGCGGGGGGGGGGGGCGGGGCAGTGCGGTAGGGGAAGAGGTGGTAGTAGGGGACGGACTCATCAAAAGTGACGTCCTGAGAGGGCAAGACTCGGCGCGAGGTGGCGTGGTAAAACTGCCAACCAGGCGCGTCCGGGACAAAGCCAAGGAAGACGCAGGGAACAGCACGGGAGGAGAGCTTGTCCGCAGACGTATCGCGGACAAAAGCTCGAGATCCCCAGACCCGGAAACGCGACGCATCGCCAACCTCCCCCGTCCACAGCAGTGTGGGCGAGGTCTCCGGCAAGGAGACACGGGGCCAGAGGTTGAGCTGATGCGCAGCGTACCGGACCGCGAACGACCACAGAAAGTGGGGGGCAGCCGCATGGATCAAGGAGCTACGGGCGACCTCCATGACCAGGCCAATGCGGCGCTCTGCAATCCCATTCTGCTGTGGAGAGGCCGGAAGCGTGAACGACTGCTCAATGCCGTGCTCAGCACAGTAGGCTGCCAAGAGGTCGGAGGAGAACTCACCACCTCTGTCAGAGTGCAAGTGCAGGACAGGAAAGTCCGAGTGGAAACGCTCGCTGAGCTGGAGACGGGCTCTGCGGATCCAAGGGATCAAGACATCAGGGACCTCACCCTTGGTGCGCAAGGGGAAGACTGTGGTGTAGCGCGAGTAGTCGTCAACAACTATCACGAAGTACCTCTCCTGACCCTGACCACGGACGCGGGCTGGGCCCCACACGTCCATGTGGAGCGTCTGCAAGGGAGCAGTCGTCGAGGGAAACGAGGAGGAGTGAGGAGCGGCGCGCTGCCGCCCCTCGATGCAGGGAAGACAGGGAGGAGCAGGCGAGGGTGGGAGGGAAGGGAGGACTCTGGGAAGACCGGAAACAAGGTAGCGGGAGTGCATGGCACGAAGGCGCTGCACAGACGGGTGGCCAAGTCGGTAGTGCCAGAGGACAGTCTCGTGCGCCAGAGAGCGACACGAGCAGGGGGCAGACAGCTGACCTGACGCGGACGCAGACACAGACGCAGCAACCTGAGGGGACTCAGTGGTCAGTGTGTACAGGTCCGACCCCGGCTGCCGAGTGAAGGTAGCCAAGTGGCGGCCCGTACGAGCACACGTGCAGTGTCTCACGCGCTCGTAGGCAAGGGTGAACTGGTGAACACCCCCGTTCTGGAGTGCACTACCTGCCACCAAGTTTGTAGAGAACGAGGGGAGGTGGAGACCTGACAGTGTGCCCGACGGGACCGCAGGACAGGGAAGGACAGTGGAGGAGGTCGCAATGACCGGACCCCCAGAGGGGTCAGCGAGGGAGACAGCAACTGGCCGAGCAAGCGGCTCAAGGGCAGTGCGGTCACGAAAGAAGCAGCGAGAAGCACCTGAGTCCAGTGTGAAGGTGTGCAGTGCTGCAGTCAACTCAGTACCAAGGGGGGCAGACGCACAAGCACCTAGAGCAGCTGCCTCACCAGCACCTGGGGTAGCGGACACGCGAGTACCTGGAGCGGCAGACGCACTAGTCCTAATGCCTGGGTCGGGCGGCACACACAGGTACTCAGCACCCTCTCCACTAGTAGACATCACATACATAGCAGTGAGAATAGCATCAAAGTCTAGAGCATAGATATCAATCCCCTTCTTCACGAGATCAACCCAGCGGGGCAGCTCAGTGGCCTGAGGGAACTGAACACGCCAAGCGTCGTTGAGACGAGCGAAGCAGCACTGTGTGGCGTGCGGTCCCCCACACGGCTGACCAGTGCGGTCACCAGTGCGAATGACGTACGTGCAGCTAAAGCCACCCCCCCCCCCCCCCCCGTGCTGAGAGTACCACTCACGGACCTCCTGGGGCGACGGAGTGTGCTGCTGGCCCTGGCCACCGCCAGCGCCTCCACGACCACCACCGCCGCCGCCACCTCCTCGACCACCCCAACCCCTGCCGCCGCCGCGTCCACCGCCACCCCCACCACCGCCTCCGCCTTTGCCACCTCCCCCGCCGCTGCCGCCACCACCCCCACCGCTGCCACTAGCCCCTCCAGTCGCGCCACCACCCCCACCGCCACCACCGCCCCCACCACTGCCTCCCTCGCTGTCACCGCCACCGCCCTTGCCCCCTTTGCCCTTGCCGCTGCGGCGCCCGCTCGAAGCAGACGCAGTCCCGACCTTCTCAACACCAAGGAGGTCGACAGCAGCAGCAGAGGCGACAGAGGGAAGAAGGGGGGAAGGAGAGCACCCCTCAAAGAACGGGGTACGGAGGTCGCCACGAGAGGCACCTACAGCGACTATGCTAGCCTCAGCTGCAACGAGTTCCTTCTCGAGGAGGGCAATGGTGAGCTCAGTGGGGCAGCGAGCTAGGAAGTGGTCCCTGACTGAGCGCAGAGTGTCAAGGAGGCGGGTGACTAGGTGGTAGAGAGTGAGTCAGAGTGGGGGTGGGTTCTTGGCAAGGAACTCATCAGGCATGGCGGCGCGGAAGCGAGCCTCACTAGTGGGGAGGTGCGTAATGAGGTCAGCGACTGTGTGGAAAGAGGCTAAGTCGGGGAACAGGTAGGGAAGAGAGAGACGGCCTAGTGCGGCAGAGGCCGGTGAGGAGTAGCGGGCAACGACAGCAGTGTACAGTGCCTGTGCAGTCTTGTGCTGCCCAAAGTGCTCGCGCTCATCTATCGGCAGGGAGTTGCGAATAGCGAAGCGAGCGTGGGCGTCACAAGTCTGCCACTGTGAGCGGGCAGTGCTGTCAGCAGTAGCAGCAAGAGCAGGAGCATGGCCTAGGGCGTGATCGTACAGTGAGATGTCCTCCTTGGCAGTGAGCTGTAGGAAGAGGTGTAGGTCATCTAGCCAGGTTTCGAACTTCACTGGGCGGCCCTCAGCATCGAAAGCTAGCACAGGAGGGCTAGCCATAGCAGTAGTAGGAGTAATAGCAGTAGGGGCACCCAAAAAACAGTAGGCAGTGCGACTCAGGTAGGGCGGCTCGGTCCAGTACGGGCGGCGCGGCTCGGTTCAGGTAGGGCGGCGCGGCTCGGGAAGGGCGGCGCGGCTAGGTTCGGGCGGCGCGGCTCGGTTTGGGCTGGGCGGCTCGGTTCGGGCAGGGCGGCTTGGTTCGGGCTGCTCGGGTCGGGTGGCTCGTTCTGGGGGGGGGGGGGCGTTCGGGGCCTCTAGAGGCGAGCACGGGACCGAACGGGGCCTCTAGGGGCGAGCGCGGGGCCGTAAGGGGCCGCTAAGGGCGAGCGCGGGGCCGTTCGGGGCCTCTAGGGGCGAGCGCAGGGCCGTAAGGGGCCGCTAAGGGCGAGCACGGGGCCGTTCGGGGCCTCTAGGGGCGAGTGCGGGGCCGTAAGGGGCCGCTAAGGGCGAGCGCGGGGCCGACGGGGGCCTCTAGTGAGGTGAGCGCGGGGCCGACGGGGCCGTTAGAGGCGATCGCGGGGCCGACAGGGTCGCTAAGGGGCGAGCGCGGGGCCGTAAGGGGCGAGCGCGTGGGCCGACGGGGCCTTAAGGGGCGGCGCGCGAGTCGCTAAGGGGCGGGTCGCGGGTCGCGGGGCCTTAGGGGGCCGTGAAAAAACGAGGCGCCCTAGGGCGCAGTTAGGTAGGTAGGTAGGTATGTAGTGGTGGGCCCTAAAAAAACGGTCCTAGTGAAGGACCTGCTCTATACCATGTTGAAATGAACGAACAGGAATGATTGAACTAACAGTGAAATCAGTACAAGTACCTAACCCTAGAATTTTGTACCCCTTATAGCCTAAACAAGCACAACATATATAATGTTTGACAATTACCTGCCAGGCTTGAAGATGCCAGAGCAACCGTCAAGAGCGAAGAAGAGGCAGCGATGGTCCTTGAGTAGGCGCAGCTCCTACAGCACTGTGGTGAATGTTTGAGTCGACTCAAGATCCTACCTTCCAGGTTTCAGAATGCCAGAGCAGCCTTCGAGAGCGAAGAAGAGGCGGCGCTGGTCCTTGAGTAGGCGCAGCTCCCTCAGCAGCGCGGCGGTGGAGTTGGCGAGCTGGTTGAAGAGCGTCGGCAGGCCCCTCGCCCCCACTTGCACCTTGGCGGACGCGCTCACCCCCTCAAAGCGCACCTCCACTCCGGGGAATGAGACGCCAACGCTGTGAGATGGAGAGGGGTGGGTAAGATGATGGGAGGAATGTAAGGGGTGATTGGGAGACCCCTCGTCCCCGTTTGCATCTTGGCGGACGCGCTCACCCCTTCAAAGCGCACCTCCATTCTGGGGGAATGAGTGGGGGAGGAACATGGTGTTGGGGAACAACACTCGCACCTGTGCGGTCACCGCAAAATGTACTGTCCCCAATGTCTCCCTATGGATTTTTTCAGCATAATTTCGGGACAACCGGTCAATGATTTTTGAGACCAAGGCAAAAGTGTTCCCAAAATACTGTATTTATATTTCATGCAGCGCCAGAGGCACCACGGTTTAGCCCCATAAATGTAGCCTCGTTAGGAACGAAGAGGCAGCGGCTTCTTGAAGTTGTGTTTTTCCTTAAGAAGACTCTTCATAAAAAAACAAACAAACAAACAAACTACAAAAAACAAACAAGAAGCAACAAAAAAAGCAAAGTCAGGAATTTACGAGTGTCACCTGTCCAGTCGACGCATCATCTTCTCGAGGAATTTCTCATTGTCCATCTCACCATCCACGCCCTCCATCGCCTGCTCCAACAATCACCGCCATGCCTCTCGATCCTCCTCCTCAATCCATGCTGTCTCGTTGTCACACATTTCGTCGCGCAGTAAATAGCCCTCGTGCCTGTCCCAGCTTATCAAAGGGAACCACCGCGCGTCTTTTCTCGTCGGATCTCCGTCGTCGTCTTTTCTGGCGTCGCACTTTTATCCGACGCGATCGCGATGACGTTTAACGTTGAGCGATTTCACCCCTGGTGGCGCCCCGCTTCCAGAACGCAGTCACTTAGAGCGGTTAATCACAGCGACTCTGCATGCAAGTAGTGTGGAACGCTTAGAGAAAAAACACACCATTCCAATATTTAAGGGACTGACTGGTGTATGCAAAGCAAAGCATTGATGCTTTGAGGAGGCACAGAGCTTCCAACTGGAGGGATGAGACCTTGTGGAGTGAGGCTGTTTACTCTCTCTGCTCTGTTTTGTAGAGTGCGTGTTTCTCAAAACCCTGAAACAGATGCACCACTATGTTTCAGACTGACGTATATTTTGATTCGCCCTGCAATCGCAGGTTCTTAGCGTTAAAAAAAAAAAAAAAAATGATCTTCCGTGCAAAGAAAAGGGGTAGTCTTCTTGGTGGTGACTGGCTATAAATATTCTCGAGCCCCGCTAAGTTCCGCTAGCCTCTCCCCTCGCAACTTTGCTCATTAAAACGCAGAACCTAGGGAACTACCTGCTTACAATATTATGATAGATCTACCCCGTCGATTCCGAAAATGAGACCCAGTTCACCCTGGCAGTCCATGCGTACGCCTCACTGGTCGCCCTGCCGTGTCAGGTGCTCGGATTTGGTAGCGCCCCCATATACTGTACACCCTCGTCACCTCCCCTCCCACCGATCAAATGTGCGCTCCGGTTGGGCTCGACTCGGCTCCGTCGAAACAGGTATCTTTTTTTCCGTGGCCTTGGGAAGGTCAGCGTGTCGATAGTGTGTGGACTACAGTCAATGTCTCCCGAAGCACCACTTTTGGAAACGAAATGTGCCGCCCGGGACAAAAACAGTTTGCGGAAACAGCTGACAGACTGTGTGTTTGTACCTACAAAGAACTGATGGTTGAGCAGCAGTCGTACAAATTTAGGTTGGCAGAACGGGCCACAGAATTGGTGTGAGTACTGTAGGTTTTCTGGCAAGGAAAGAACACGAAAACCAAGGCCCGGTTTGGCAGGCATAAAAAACGGGAGAGGGGGATGGGCTACAGTGAACCGACCACCTCGGAACCTTTTTCGATAACCGCGTTAGAGGCTATCAAGGCTCGATATAAGTGGACTACGCCGAACCTGACAATAATGGAATGCCAACCAAACACCCCTTTTTTTGCAGGTGTTTTCAACCGCCGGAATCTACACCCAAACCAGGCCTCACGTTTTCAGAGTAAATTACTCTGTTTCTCTGAAAATCAGAGTCATTTTTGAAAGTAACTCTGTACCCGCTGGGTAATTTTTTTGGGACTTCCGATTTCTCTGATTTGCCAGAGTTATGCTGTAGTTTACTCTGAGGCCTCTGGGTTTTTTTTTCGGGGACCGAATTTACTCTGTATAGGGAATACCTGCTGGCCCCCCCTCCCCCGCCCCCCTCCCCTCCCCACCTCCCCCTGCGTTTAGCGGGTTTTCCCCGAATCATCGAGATCATTCTCCTGATTTCTATCGTGTGTTGGCAACAATATGAGCACTGATTGGCTACCGTAGTTTGACAACTTTCCCAACCAGCGCACGATGCCAGCCAGTCCCCTCTCTCTTTATGTCTGAAGTGAACGTCGACGTTTCCCGACGAAACTTTGAGGGACGTCGAGGAATCCTGACGGTCGGAACGCTCAATCCGAGGGTTGAGATTCGCCAGCATTCCCCCACGAAACTGTACATCCGTCGACATTTCACTTCAGACACGCTCTTTGGGGGTGTCCGAAGTGAAACGTCGACATCCGTGGACATCCGTTTGGGGATGTCGGTAAATCCTGACGGTTGGAACTGTCGATCCGAGGGATGACATTCACCGACATCCAGCGACATCTATTGACGTTTCACCACGCCCTTAGTCATATTATCGGTGCCGCCACACCTCACTCTGAAACATCGCAGTGAGGGGGGAAACGTGGGCGACGCGGAAATGCAAGTACAAAAGGCGTAACAGAAACCTATTGAGGTCATGGTACACCAAACTTAACTAACATCAGAGTAGAGAAAAATATTACTCTGACGTGTCTGGGTTTTTGTTTTAAAGTATAGGGTTACTCTGACAAATCAGAGTAAGGCGCAGGAACAACCCTAGATTTCAGAGTTGGGAAAAAAACTACTCTGGAAATCAGAGTACCTAAAATCCAAAAATAGGCCCTGACCCAAACGATTTTCTCTGGCAAAGTGCCCATTTTCTGATCCCCCGCACCATGCGGCCTCGAGGCCACGCACTATGCGGGGTATCAGTGATTCGGGGCAATCAAAAGTGACTGGTCAAATATGCCAGCCAATCACATGATCACGCGAACCATCATGGCAACTGCTTACCATCTTCTGCAAAACCCTAAATTTCAATAGATGCCATCAATCTACACCCAAATAATGCCAACAAAACACTCCACCCCGTTTTTCCGAATGTGCACTGCAGCTACTATCCGATTTCGATGCTGTTTCTCGAAATGCCCATGCGGCATATTTTGGGAGCCCGTTAGAAATGCCTATGTGGCCATAATGGCCATGATGCCTGCCAAACAAGGCCCAAAGGGGAAGAGACATAAACCGTGTTACCACAAGAGATTCTGTATAATGCACATGGACATTTTTTCCCTACAGTACCATGGACAGAAGAACCCAATTGGATGCGTGAACTTGGGTGCTGCTCCAGCTGCGACAACAATGCAAAGTCCAAAATGTCAACGAGCCGCTTCTCTTCAATCCATACAGTACTTCTGCTCCAAAACTGTTGATCCAGTTGGTTGGGAAGATTGGTGCGAACCAGTCACGTCAGCACTGCAACCCAGTTTTCCACCGAAGGCGATCCACCCCGATGCGTGCATGCAACAAAAAATACGCCTCAGGGAAATGCCCGTTCTAAAAAATATATAGATAAGGTTGTGCTTTATACGAAAATCTGTAGGGATAAGTTTAACCACGAGTTTATCTTGCCTTTGACACTCTTTTTTGCATAGATGAATGTCTGCATCAGCACGTGCCTTGCACACATCCAGGGAGTAGAGATCCCATGGTAACATCCATGGACTTAAACAATTGTATATTCAGGATACACCCCCAAGTGATTGAAAGACATAGGAGGAGAAAATACTATACATCCAAACATACACAAAACACCGCGTATGATAGTGATACGCGATACGGCACTACACGCAGTTCACTCGGTTCCCCCTATAGTCTATGGTATCAAGAAGGCAGTCAGTAAGTCAGTAGGGTCAGGAGAGTGCCGGAACGCCGCTGCAAAAGAGGGTAATTCACTCAAGCGGGGACGTTACTTCGGTAAGGATGGCACCCAGCTGAATTCGTCTGTGACTTCAAATCGAGGAGGCAGAAAGGGTGAAAAGGCCACATCCAGGTTGGAGTCGGGGAATAGAGCGCTGGGCGGTCGGTGTCAGGCTGTGATGCGAGGGACTGTTATAAGGTGCTTTTCAGAAACTTTTGAGGTGCCTCAAAGGGGTAAAAGGTGGCATCGGTGATGGGAATTGGAGTGTTGGAAGGTTGGTGCTAAGGGAGTGATGTGAGGGAACTGAAGGCGGGGTTATTGCTGAAGGGAGGCGGATAGGGGTGAAAGGCTCACATCCAGGTGCGGATAGGGGAGACGTGAGACGGGGTGTTAGGAGGCAGGTGTTGAGAGTGTGATGTGGGGGAGTAGAAGGCTGGAGTTATCTCTGAGGGAAGTTGGAAAACGATTCAAGCTGTGAGATGGGGTGTTAGCAGGCAGGTGTTAGAGGGTGTGATGTGAGCGCATGAGGAGAGGAAGTGAAATGAGGGATTATCTCTGAGGGAAGTTGGGAGAGGGCTCAAGCTGTGAGATGGGGTGTTAGAAGGCAGGTGTTGAGGTTGTGATGTGAGGGGGTAGAAGGCTGGAGTTAAGCGCGCGAGGAGAGGAAGTGGAAGGCGGGGTTATCCCTGAGGGGAGGCGGCACCGGCAGCACTGCAATGTCAATGCCCTCCATGCTGCGCGCAAAATCGTCCAGACCGAAGGGGATACTGCACGTGACACGGGAGAGGGTGGGGGAGACATTATTAGTCAACTTCAAACTTATTTCTGAGGGGAAGGGACACCGGCAATACTGCAATGTCAATGCCCTCCATGCTGCGAGCAAAGTCGTCCGGACCAAAGGGGATACTGCATGGGTGTGGGGTAGGGGGGGATGAAAGAAGGGAGGGTGTGATCCACAAGAGGAGGCGGCGCCGGGAGCACTGCAATGTCAATACCTTACATGCTGCGCGCAAAGTCGTCAGGGCCAAACGGAATACTGGGTGATGGCACGAAGGGGGGAGGGGGTGGGAGCGGAGAGAAGGGAATGCGGAAGAGGAATAGGCAGCATGCAATGCCTATGGCCTCCATGCTGTGAGCATAGTCATCCGGGCCGAATGGGATACTGGGGAGGGGGTGGAAAGAGGGGAGGGTATGAGCCACAAGAGGAGGCGGAACCGACTGGCAGCAGCACTGCAATGTCAAAGGCCTCCATGCTGCAATGTCAATGGCCTCCATGCTGGAATGTCAATGGCCTCCATGCTGCAATGTCAATGGCCTCCATGCTGCAAGCGAAGTTGAGGCGCCTCAAAAGTCGTCTCATGTCTTGCACTTTTGAGGCGCCTCAATGTCAATGGCCTCCATGCTGCAAGCGAAGTCGCCAGGGCTGAATGGGATACTGTGTGGTGATACGAAAACGGGGAGGGTGAAGGGTGGGAGGGTTGGTGAGAGGAGGAAGAAAGAGGAGAGGGGAGGGCATGGGCTACAAGAGGTCAGGGACTGTGTGTGTGTTTGGATCGATTTTTTAGTCGACTCAAAAATCGACTCACTACAAGAGGTCAGGGACTGTGTGTGTTTGTGTGCACTGTGCACGCGCGCGTACGAAAAAAACAGAAATGAGCCGGTGGCAGCACTGGTTCTCGCCTCCGCTCTCGTGCAAGCTCAGAGTTTTTGAAAATTCTCACCGCGCCTCCTGCTCTCCCTTCTCTCTCGTGCAGGCTCGGAGTTTTTGAGAATTCTCGCCTTCTCAAAAACTCCCTTCTCTCTCATGCAGGCTTGCACTTTCGAATGACCTGCGTGCTGACAGTGTGGCGTACTTGGCTCCTTCTTTACGCATCAGCAATCACATCCCTCACCCCACCCACCAGCCCTCCTCCTCACCTCGAATCATCCCCCCTCTTCTTACCTTGAGTCATCATCCAAGAGAAATAACTGGTGGTAGCAGGGGACTTCGCCTCCTCACCTCCTTGGTAATGTGCAGGCATATCATGTGAAAGACAACCACCCCTCCTAACACCACGACCCCCATCACTTCCCCTCTTCTCACCTCGAGTCGTCATCCAGCAGAAACGAGCCAGTAGCAGCCGGGCTCCTTGCCTCCTCGCTCATTCGTGCGCGCATCATCTGAATGACCTGCGTGCTGACGGTGTGTGTGCCGTACTTGCCATCCCAGTACATGGTTGCGATGCGATACAGCTGCTGCGTTGACAGCGACGGACAGAGAGTTGTCACGATCTCTTCCAGACTCTTTTTAGGCTTCTGGTGCAGCACCTGTGGGGGCGGGGAATGGGGGGAGAGGCAGCAAGGAAAGCATGTTTGAGGAGCAGCAGAAGCTACGCTGACGGTGTGTGTGCTGTGTTATGGGACGCTCAAAACTCTGGGTGCCGTTACTTGCCATCCCAGTACATGGTGGCGATGCGATACAGCTGCTGCGTTGACAGTGACGGGCAGAGAGTGGTGACAATCTCCTCCAAACTTTTCTTGGGCTTCTGGTGCAGCACCTGGGGGGGAAACCGGGGTACGAGGCAGAGATGAGAGCATGTTGCCATACTTGCCATCCCAGTACATGGTGGCGATGCGATACAGCTGCTGCGTCGACAACGACGGGCACAGAGTTGTAAACATGTCCTCCAGGCTCTTCTTCGGCTTCTGGTGCTTCACCTGGGGTGGGGGGAACAGGGTAGGAAGCAGAGATGAGAGCATGCTGCCATACTTTCCATCCCAGTATGTCGTTGTGATGCGTCGACAGCGACAGGCAGAGAGGGGTGACAATCTCCTCCAGGCTCTTCTTGGGCTTCTGGTGCAGCACCTGGGGTGGCGGGTTGAGGGGAGCGGGGGGGAGAGGGGACGGGGGTGTAGGACGGGAATGGCAGTGTATTCTTGACTTCGGAGTTGACTCGAGCGACGGACAGAGAGTCCTCACAATCTCCTCTAGAGTCTTCTTTGGCTTCTGATGCAGCACCTGTGGGGGGGGAATGGGGGTGGGTTGCAGGAGCGCAGTGGGTGGGAGAGGGAAGTAAGAGGAGATTAGATTCTGAGTCGACTCAGAAGTTGAGGGCCATGGGCACATCTGGTCGACTCAGAAGTTGAGGGCCATGGGCACATCTGGTCGACTCAGAAGTTGAGGGCCATGGGCACATCTGGTCGACTCAGAAGTTGAGGGCCATGGGCACATCTGGTCGACTCAGAAGTTGAGGGCCATGGGCACATCTGGTCGACTCAGAAGTTGAGGGCCATGGGCACATCTGGTCGACTCAGAAGTTGAGGGCCATGGGCACATCTGGTCGACTCAGAAGTTGAGGGCCATGGGCACATCTGGTCGACTCAGAAGTTGAGGGCCATGGGCACATCTGGTCGACTCAGAAGTTGAGGGCCATGGGCACATCTGGTCGACTCAATTACTCTTCGCACCAACCTTATGGGTAAGGTTGGTGTGACTCAGAAGAAGAGTCTCGGAAAACTGTGCGCTCATAATCTCCTCGAGACTCTACTTTGGCTTCTGGTGCAGCACCTGGGGGGGTGAGGGGGGGAGGGGAGGGGAGGCAGTGGGAGAGAGGCAAGGCAAAGAATTTATTTCTGAGGTACTGTAGAATGAGGATCGGTGAACTTGAGGCACAATGAGAGAAGAACAATATATCCTTAGTAGGAAGATGGTACAAGCCTGAAAGGCTGGAGCAATGTCCTTTCCAAGGATGAGTTCTAGAGAAGTGGGAAGCCACATTTATGTGGCTGAACTCTTGAGGCTAGCTGCAGCACCTCAAAGCTGAGGGCAGGGCTAGCCAACCTTGCCAAGCTAGCAATTGAGGCCACATGTTGCACATGTGGGCCAAGCTGGAACAACAGCCTACATGGCAGCATGTGGCACACCATAGGAGCCAACAAGGTGAGTATGGGATGGGTGGACAGATGGCAATGCCAACTGTGACCACACTTCACTGTGGGTGAGTGTGGTGGAGTGTGGGAGTGTCATGTTCGGCATAATGAGAAGAGAAGGTGCTGCCGATGAGAGTTGAACCCGCGACCACTAAGACCAAAGGTACCCACTGGGACATTCTTGCTTCCACAACAGGTACCTTCACATGTTTTTCTACACGCTCTTCTAGCTTCTCCTATAGCCGTGCCATCACCCACTCACTCAGTAACTCAGTCACTCGTCCACTCCATCACTCAGTCACTTATCATTCTCGCACTCAATCACTCACCAGAAACCCCACAGCCTGAGTGATGCTCCTCAGCTCCTCCCACGCGCGCCCCATGCTCTCCTCCCCTGCCTCCCGCATCCACTGCTGCACCTCCTGCAACCCCGCCTTCACATACTCCCCGTTGCTCAACGAGCAGCACTCACGGCGGAGCAGCAAGCTGAGGCAGAAAGGGGGAAAGGACATTGGAAGAGGGGGAGAATGAGTAAGAGAGGCTGCAGTTCCTGCAACCGGCCTTCACGTACTCTCCGTTGCTCAATGAACAGCACTCATGGCGGAGCAGTAAGCTGGGTGGGAAAGAGGGTTTCATGGGAACAGGAAGTGGGGGAGATGAGGAGAGAAAAAGGGAGAAGGGAAGGAGCAGTGAGAGTGGGAGGGACAGGCGCGGGGAAGAGATGCTGCACCTCCTGCAACCCTGCCTTCACATACTCTCCGTTGCTTAGCGAACAGCACTCCCGGCGGAGCAATAAGCTGAAACAGAAGGGGGGAGTGGACATTGCAAGCAGGGGAGGAGAGAGGGGGAGTGGGTAAAGGGAGGCTGTATTTTCTGCAACCCGCCTTCACATACTCCCCGTTGCTCAGCGAACAGCACTCACGGCGGAGCAGTAAGCTGAAGAGAAAGGGATGGGGCGGGGTGGGACGGGGTGGGACGGGGTGTGGGGGTGAGGAGAAAGGGAGGAAGAGTGGGAGTTGGAGGCTGCACCTTTTGCTGCCCCGCCTTCACATACTCTCTGTTGCCCAGCAGCCTGCACTCACAACGTTGTTTTGAGACGTCTCAAAACAACTCTGTTTGCATGTGGCTCCTGCAGCCCCGCCTTCACATACTCCCTGTTGCCCAGCAGCCTGCACTCACAACGGGGTAGTAAGCTGGGTGGAAAAGGGGGTTAGGGGGACAGGGGAGGGTAAAGGGGAGGAGAATTGGAGGAGGAGCTAGAGTTGAGGCACAGGAGTGGGAAAGGGACGCCACACCTCCTGCAGCCCCGCCTTCACATACTCCCTGTTGCCCAGCAGCCAGCACTCACAATGGGGTAGTAAGCTGAAGGGAAGGGGACCAAAGCGGGTGCAGAGAAGAGGAGGAGGAGTGGGAGTTGGAGGCACAGGACTGGGGAAGGAAGGCTGCACCTTCTGCAGCCCCGCCTTCACATACTCTCCGTTGCCCAGCAGCCTGCACTCACAACGGGGTAGTAAGCTGATGCAAAGGGTGGACCAAAGGGGGAGAGAGAGAAAAAACTGTATTCTTGCAGGTCCACTTTCACGTAATCTCTGTAACTCAATCAAAGTCCCACGGATCTGTGTTCATGAAGAAGGGCAGCAGTAGGCAAGGTCGCCTTTAGCAAAGGGACGATAGTCAATCAGTCAATCTGCCCTTTTTTCAACTGATTGACTATCGTCCCTTTGCTAAAGGCGACCTTGCCTACTGCTGCCCTTCTTCATGAACACAGATCCGTGGGACTGTATTCTTGCAGGTCCACTTTCACGTAATCTCTGTAACTCAATGAGCACCACTCATTTGAACCTTAAACTCACGACGGATGAAGCTGAAGAAAAATTAGAAAGATTTGGGCCTGTTCCTTCACCCACCTGTTGAACAGCTAGACGCTGATGAAGGCGAAGACATGGGCTAATATTTTCCGGACGAGTAACCACATGCTTTGAGAGACGTCCCAAAACACACCCTTGTATCTCCCCCATACGCCCTCATCCAACCCCCCCACCGCGCTCACCTGTTGAAGAGCTGTACGTTCATCAACGTACATTTTCTAGGCGCCTCAAAAATAGCTGTACGTCTATCAACGTACATCTTTCTAATCAACAGCCGAGAGGTGCATTTAAAGCTTTAGCACCATTCTCTCCCTCCCACCACACCACCCCCCACCTGCTAATGAGCTGAACATTGATGAAGGAGGAGGATGGCGGCCCGCTGCCTGCTGTTTCAACACCCTATCTCTTCCATTCTTTCAGTGACATGCTTCCCTCCCTCCACCCCTCACCTGTTGAACAGCTGAACGTTGATGAAGGAGAAGACCTGAGCAAACATCTTGCGGATGAGGAATGGCGCCACGTGGTTGCCCTTGAGCGTCGCGAGCAGCGAGGAGAGCGACGCAATGATGGCATGCCACGGGCTTGGTGGGGATGATGACGCGGGGCCGCTGCCTGCTGTGCTGCTAGGAGACGAGGATTGCCGGCCGTATGAGGAGCGGGAGACACGAGGGGCCTGGTTGAGGGTGGTGGAAAGGGGAGAGTGAGTGGTGGGAGGGGGTGGGGAGGTGCACTTTGAGGCGCCTCAAAATGCACCTCACTACAAGAGTGGTGGGAGGGGGTGGGCAGGAAGAGGAGTGGGAAGAGAATGTGCATGTATAAGTGAACTGCCCAGAGTCATCCGTCTTACCTGGAAGCACTGGCAGCCTTTTGAGTCGACTCAACAGTCTTTTCAGTCGACTCAAAAGTCACCAGAATGTGCATGTATAAGTGAACTGCTCAGAGTCATCCGTCTTACCTGGAAGCACTGGCAGCCCCAATCCCCTATGCCCACTGCCCCAATCCCCTATGCCCACTGCCCCAATCCCCTATGCCCACTGCCCCAATCCCCTATGCCCACTGCCCCAATCCCCTATGCCCACTGCCCCAATCCCCTATGCCCACTGCCCCAATCCCCTATGCCCACTGCCCCAATCCCCTATGCCCACTGCCCCAATCCCCTATGCCCACTGCCCCAATCCCCTATGCCCACTGCCCCAATCCCCTATGCCCACTGCCCCAATCCCCTATGCCCACTGCCCCAATCCCCTATGCCCACTGCCCCAATCCCCTATGCCCACTGCCCCAATCCCCTATGCCCACTGCCCCAATCCCCTATGCCCACTGCCCCAATCCCCTATGCCCACTGCCCCAATCCCCTATGCCCACTGCCCCAATCCCCTATGCCCACTGCCCCAATCCCCTATGCCCACTGCCCCAATCCCCTATGCCCACTGCCCCAATCCCCTATGCCCACTGCCCCAATCCCCTATGCCCACTGCCCCAATCCCCTATGCCCACTGCCCCAATCCCCTATGCCCACTGCCCCAATCCCCTATGCCCACTGCCCCAATCCCCTATGCCCACTGCCCCAATCCCCTATGCCCACTGCCCCAATCCCCTATGCCCACTGCCCCAATCCCCTATGCCCACTGCCCTCCAACCGAAATGCTCTCAAATAACCTTGTCTCGACCCACCCAATCGCCCACCAGTTATTTCCAACCCCACCTGAATGTACTGCCCCAAGATGGGCGAAATGTCTCGCTTCAGGTTATCTCTGATCAGCCCAAACACCTTCTCCACATACGCTGTCAGCTGCTGCCGGAACAGCAGCAAACCAGCTGCGCCCCCATCCCCCCCACCCACCCCCATCCAAGTGCCCCCCAATAAGCTTATCACACCCACCTGAATGCACTGCCCGAGAATCGGCGAGATGTCTCGCTTGAGGTTGTCTCTGATCAGCCCAAACACCTTCTCCACATACGCAGTCAGCTGCTGCCGGAACAGCAGAGCGGGGTACTTAGCTTCTACCAGCTTCAGCGAGCTTGACCCATCCGGCAGAGGGGGGGACGGCGGATATCCCATTTGAGGCCCCATCTGAGCCATCCTCCCACTAGTCCCTCCTCCTTGCGCGCCTTTCCTCCTCCCTGCCGGCCCAGCCTGCCCCCCCCCACTGGCCTTGAGCGTCCGCTGCAGCAGTACCAGCAGACACGAAGTGTTGGATAACCAATACGCCAGCCGCCCCATGCTCTTCCCTCCCAACCCCCCTCCACCGCTCAGCACCCCTCCACTCCCCAGTGCTGCTAGCGCTCTATCATCCTCCTCAACAGCTGATCTGATAGTGCGGTTAATGCGGTCGAAAATGCTCGTTCGCTCTGCCTCAAATGCCCGCCAGTGCAGGAGGCACTTGTAGACTATGCAGGCGGCGAGGGGGCGCTTGTTGCTGTAGCCTAGGCTCGTGGCTGAGAGGGCCTTGAGCAGTGTTTCCTGCTCTTGCTGTGATTGGGGAACCAGGGTAAAGGAGCGGGGGGAGATGAGAGGAGGGATGGAGGGTGGTAGGAGCAGAGAGGGGAAGGGTGAGTAAGGGGGGAAAGGTGCTATGTTTTTTTGGCATCAAATGCACGCCAGTGCAGGAGGCACTTGTAGACTATGCAGGCGGCGAGGGGGCGCTTGTTGCTGTAGCCGAGACTCGTGGCTGAGGGCCTTCAGTAGTGCCTCCTGCTCCTGCTGTAATCAGGGCAGCAGGGCAAGAAAGAGGGGGAAAGGAGGAGCTGTCAAGAGAGGACAGGTGGGCCTAAGTAAGGCCTCCGCAGCCCACCTGTCCTCTCTTGACAGCTGATGTGATCACGGCAGTAGGGCAAGGAAGAGTGGGAAAGGAGGTAAGGAGGGAGGGTGAGCAAAGAATAAGTTGCTGTATGCTTTCGGCCTGATAGAACTATCTTTTTACAACCCATCTTTCCTGCTTTCCACTCACCGAGTGCCGCTCGGACTGCATGCGATAGAACCGCCTGTCTCCTCCTTCCCCAGACACACTTCCCAGCGGCGACATCCCCGCCATACCCCCTCTGCCGAAGTTCCCACTCGCAGGGGGTCAAGGTGCCTCAAAAGCACGCTCTCCCAGGGCAGGGGTGCCCTGCTGGCATTCCAACTCACCGGGTGCCGTTCAGACTGCGTGCGATAGAGCCGCCTGCTCTCTCCACCTTCCCCTGATCCACTTCCCAGCGGCGACATCCCGCCACTCCCCCTCTTCTGCCATCCCACCCACAACCCCCCTGCTGCCCTTTCCACTCACCGAGAACCGTTCAGACTGCATGCGATAGAACCGCCTGTCACCCCCTTCACCAGACACACTCCCCAGCGGCGACATTCCCGCCACACCCCCTCTGCCGCCGTTCCCACTCGCCGGGGTGAGCGCCAATGGGACAGGAGAGTCTGGCGACCCGAGCCTCTGGCTCGGCGACCCGTGGCTCTGGCTCGGCGATCCGAAGCTCAGGTTCGGGGCCAGCCCGTTTTGCTGCGGGGATTGCACCGCCAAAGCCCCTGCTGCTCCTTGCTCTCCGTTTCTCCCTGCTCCCACTGCTGCTCCTCCGCCTCCTCCTCTGTCTGGGCCTGAGAGTGCTTGCTGCTGCCGAAGTGCTTGGTTTTCTCTCTCCATCCGCGAGTAAAGCTCCTGTACTCGCTTTAGATCCGCTTGGGTCTGCTCCAATTCCCGCTCGCTCCGTGCTGTCTTCTCCTGTACCTGCGGGGGCAGATGCAAATGCAGAAGCAGACGTGCACAACCACACATGAACAGGCAAACATGAACAAGCAAACATGAACAAGCAAAATGAACAAGCAAACATGAACAAGCAAACATGAACAAGCAAACATGAACAAGAAAACATGAACAAGCAAACATTAACAAGCAAACATGAACAAGCACACGTGAACAAGCACTCATGAACAAGCACACATGAACAAGCAAACATGAACAAGCACACATACACAAGCACGCCAGAAACAGGTTTATATTCATGTGTGCACTCACATGAGAACACAGACACGCTATGCTACACGTTGGCAACTGCAGCAGATTATCTCTCAGCCTCTCACTTACCTGCCCAGCCACCTCTGCCCCTAACTTTCACCTTCCCACCCACCTCTCGCCTGCCCGGCCACCTTTGCCCTAACTCCCACCTTCCCAACCACCTCTGCCTGAAAAATCTCACCTGCCCAACCACCACTGCCTGAAAAATCTCACCTGCCCAACCACCACTGCCTGAAAAATCTCACCTGCCCGACCACCTCTGCCAGAAAAGTCTCACCTGCCCAACCATCTCTGCCAGAAAAGTCTCACTTGCCCGGCCACCTCTGCCAGAAAAGTCTCACCTGCCCGGCCACCTCTGCCAGAAAAGTCTCACCTGCCCAACCACCTCTGCCAGAAAAGTCTCACCTGCCCAACCACCTCTGCCAGAAAAGTCTCACCTGCCCGGCCACCTCTGCCAGAAAAGTCTCACCTGCCCAACCACCTCTGCCAGAAAACTCTCACCTGCCCGGCCACCTCGGCCTCGTAACGAGCCAGACGCCCCTCTGACTCCGCCAGCAGCGACTTGAGCTGCACATTCTCCTGCTGCAGCTGTGGGGTGAAAAACGCGGCAAGATGGGAGAGGAGAAACAGGAGGTGATTGATCTCGTCTCAACTCCTTGCCAGCAGCGACGCGAGTTGCACATTCTCCTGCTGCAACTAGGGGGGAGCAGTCTCGCAGAGGGTGGGAGGGTAGGGGAACAAAGTAGTGGAGGAGCAACGAGAGGTGATTGATCAAGTCTCAGTCCTCACGCCTCACAGCGCACGTTCAGTCGCAAGCTAAACAGATTCTCAAGCGTGCGTCAGCGACAGTCATAAATGTTCATCCCAGCTCACCTCGCCATCACCCTCCCCAGCAGCTCTCCCCGCACTCTCCCCTGCTGCTCTCGCTGACGACGCTGATGACACGGACGCAGCAGCACCCGACGCCCCTCCACCAGACTCCAGACTCCCTCGCCCCCCACTCCCAACACCACCACCAGCACCAGCACCACCAACAGCAGCAGCCGTCACCACCGGCCGTTCCGCCAGCTGTTGCGCCAGCCTGGCACTCTCATCCGCCATTCGCTCGCTCTGCTCCCTAAGCTGCCGCACCTCGGCCTCTGCCTGTTCCACCTTCCCCTGTGCCTCCTCCAACCTCGCTTGCGCCTCTTCCAATCGCCCCTGTGCTTCTTCTAGCCTGCCTTGGGACTCGTCTAGTTGCCGCCTGGTGTCGTCTACTTGGCTCTCCAGCCGGGTTCGCGTGTCGTCGAGCTCAGACCGTAGATCTTCCACTTGCGCTTGCAGCCGTTGGATCTCGGCGGCCTTTGCCTCCTCTAGGTCCAGCTGGTTTGGGGGAAAGCAGGATGAGGAGGAGCAGTGGGCATGAAGAAGGGAAAGAGAAGATGGGTGACTGCTGAGAATTCTCAAAAGTCGTACCAAGGTGACTGCACCTGAAACACACACAGACCGACATGCAACAGCTTTCACTCATATCACTCACCCAAGAAAACCCATCAACAACACACTCTCAGCCCACTAACCCACATGCACTTTTCCAGCTGCAAGCGCCATTGAGCTCCTCCAGTTGCTTTTCCAGATGCCTTTTGGGACGCGTCAAAGGCCATCCACGATATACTCACCCACACATCCCCATCCTCACTCACCCGCATGCGCTTCTTGAGCTGCAGCCGCCACGTCAGCTCCTCCAGCTGCTTGTGAGACGCCTCAGGAGCCATCCACAGCCCATGACGCGCATACACATTCCCTCCTACTCCCATACAGCCCCACTCACTCACCCGCATGCGCTTCTCCAGCTGCAGCCGCCACGTCAGCTCCTCCAGCTGCTTCTCCAGCTTCGTCTTGGCCTCCCTTAAAGCCCCTGCCTGCCGAGCCTCCTGTAACCGCGGGAGAAAAGGATTCGCAGAAATAGATCCATTAGAACATAGCTCTGTAGGGTGGCTCCGGCAGTTGGCCTGTCTTCCTGCCCCCCCTCCTCCTGGGGCAATGGGACGGGATTGGGAATAAGGATGGCAGACAGGAATGCGAGATGCACCTGAGTGCCTTGATCCTCCTCAAGTCTGTTTCGCTTTTGGAGGCGCCTCAGAAGTCCCCCCCAAAGTCCAGGGCGACAGCAACAGACTTCTTTTGCGGCGCCTCAACAGCAACAGAAGACTGGTTGGGTGAATTGGACGAACAGCAGTGCAAACAGCAACAGAAGACTGGTTGGGTGAATTGGACGAACAGCAGTGCAAACAGCAACAGAAGACTGGTTGGGTGAATTGGACGAACAGCAGTGCAAACAGCAACAGAAGACTGGTTGGGTGAATTGGACGAACAGCAGTGCAAACAGCAACAGAAGACTGGTTGGGTGAATTGGACGAACAGCAGTGCAAACAGCAACAGAAGACTGGTTGGGTGAATTGGACGAACAGCAGTGCAAACAGCAACAGAAGACTGGTTGGGTGAATTGGACGAACAGCAGTGCAAACAGCAACAGAAGACTGGTTGGGTGAATTGGACGAACAGCAGTGCAAACAGCAACAGAAGACTGGTTGGGTTAATTGGACGAACAGCAGTGCAAACAGCCTGCCTGAACCCACCCCCCCCCCCCCTCCCCCCTCCCCCTCTCACCAACCACTTGCAGTCTTGTCGCAACAGCCTGTGGGTTTTTTGAGGTGTCTCAATAAACGACTATGCTCACCACTCGCAATTGTCTCAGCAGCCTGTGCGTTTTTCGAGGTGCCTCAATAAATGACTATTGCTTACCACTCGCAATTGTCTCAATAAATGACTATTGCTCACCACTCGCAATTGTCTCAATAAATGACTATTGCTCACCACTCGCAATTGTCTCAATAAATGACTATTGCTCACCACTCGCAATTGTCTCAGCAGCCTGCGTGCCTGTCTCGCTCGCCACGCGCTCTGAATGACCACGGCGCTCCAGCGCTCGCGGAGGAAGTCCATTCGATCCACATAGCCTCGCCAGGCCGCCTGCAGTGGTAAGTGGCGGGGGAGGAGGGAAGAATCAAGCAGGAAAACAGGGGTGGGAAGGAGGGGTGGGTAAAAGGTGCGCTCCAGCGCTTGTGGAGGAAGTCCATTCGCTCCACATAGCCCCGCCAGGCTGCCTGCACGAGGTAAGAGGGAAGGAGGGAGGAAGCAAGCAGGAGAGAGGCGGGAAAAATATGTTCTCCAGCGCACACGACGGAAGTCCATTCGATCCACATAGCCCCGCCAGGCCGCCTGCAGTGGGGTAAGAGGGAAGGGGGGAGCACGCAAGCAGGATGCAGGGGTGGGAAGGAGAGGTGGAAAAAAGGTGCACTCCAAGCCTCCAACGCACACAGAGGAACATCACTCGATCCACGCAGCCCCGTCAGGCCGCCTGCATGAGGCAAACATGGTAGGGAAGATGGGCACTCAACAGCATGGTGACTTTTGAGTCGACTCAAAAGTCACATGGTAAGGAAGATGGGCACTCAACAACATGGTGACTTTTGAGTCGACTCAAAAGTCACATGGTAAGGAAGATGGGCACTCAACAACATGGTGACTTTTGAGTCGACTCAAAATTCACATGGTAAGGAAGATGGGCACTCAACAACATGGTGACTTTTGAGAATTCTCGAAAACCAGTAAGTAAGATGGGCACTCAACAACATGTCGCAACAACACATGGGTACCAAATTATTCATACGCCATACCATCTCCTACCACTTCCTCCCCCCCTCACCCCGCCCCTCTTTCTTCCACCCTCCTCTCCCCACCCCTCTTTCTTCCACCCTCCTCTCCCCACCCCTCTTTCTTCCACCCTCCTCTCCCCACCCCTCTTTCTTCCACCCTCCTCTCCCCACCCCTCTTTCTTCCACCCTCCTCTCCCCACCCCTCTTTCTTCCACCCTCCTCTCCCCACCCCTCTTTCTTCCACCCTCCTCTCCCCACCCCTCTTTCTTCCACCCTCCTCTCCCCACCCCTCTTTCTTCCACCCTCCTCTCCCCACCCCTCTTTCTTCCACCCTCCTCTCCCCACCCCTCTTTCTTCCACCCTCCTTTCCCCACCCCTCTTTCTTCCACCCTCCTCTCCCCTCCAACCATCCTTGTTGCCGCCCGCTGCACTCTCATCTCTTGCACCCGCTAGCATTGCGGCTCAACATGCCAACCAACAAATGGATACTCGGTCAATCCTATCCCGGTCCCTACCCGTCCACCTCCATGTCTGCCCTCTCGCCCCTTTCCTCTTCTCTCTCCTCCCAACCAACCTGTATCCTTGTTGCCGCCCGCTGCACTCTGATCTCCCGCACCCACTTGCGGCACAACATGCCGCGGAACGCCGCCTGGATGATGATGGCACTGTAGCGCGTGTGCTCGTAGGCCAGCTGCGTGGTGTACCGCCGCACGTGCTTCTGAATCGTCACCGCTGCTGCTTCTTCTCGTAGCCAGCTGTAGTACTGCCGAGTCAGGTGGCCTGGGGGTTGGGGGGAAGGAGAAGAGCGGGAGCGGGGAGAGCGGAGGGAGAAAAAGAGAGGGGAGAGGGAGGAGAGCAGGAGGGGAGGAGGGGGGAGAGAGGGGAGCGAAGGGAGTGAGAGGAGGTTGAGGGAGAGCAGCAATGGAGCAGCCGCCTGGATGATGATGGCCCTGTAGCGCGTGTGCTCGTAGGCGAGCTGCGTGGTGTATCGCCGCACGTGCTTCTGAATCGTCACTGCTGCCGCTTCTTCTCGTAACCAGCTGTAGTACTGCCGGGTCAGGTGACCTGGAGGGTATTGGGGAAGGGAGGAGGGCAGAGAGAGGGAGGAGGGCAGAGAGAGAGGGAGGAGGAGGGGAGGGAGAGGGGGGATGGACGAGAGGAGGGAGGAGAGAGGGGAGCGAGAGGAGTGAGAGGAGGTTGAGTGAGTGCAGCAGCACGTGTGCTCGTAGGCGAGCTGCGTGGTGTATCGCCGCACGTGCTTCTGAATCGTCACTGCTGCCGTCTCCTCTCGCAGCCAGCTGTAGTACTGCCGAGTCAGGTGGCCTGGGGGGGAGAGAGCGGAGGGGTGCGAAGAGGGAAGAGGGGCAGAGAGGGAGGAGAGAAGGGAGAGAGGGGAATGACAGGAGGTTGAGTGAGAGAGGCAGTGATGCAGCGTGTGTGCTCGAACACGAACAGAATGAACTGCAGCCACGACCATCAAGATCACCCACTCCTTTGTTTCTCATCCACCTTCTGCCCTCTCTCAACCTTCAACCTCCTCACCTCGCCACCATGCCTGCATGCAAATCACGGCCCATCGCAGCATATTGTACCGCAAGAACTGCCGCCAACACACCACACCTTCCATCTCTTCCACTTACTACCCTTCTCACCCATTCACACCCCTCCTCACCTCGCCACCGCGCCTGCATGCGGATCACAGCCCATTGCAGCATGTTGTACCGCATGAACTGCCGCCACGACCACGTTGGCATCTCCTCTCTCTCACACTCATCCCTTAATCTTCTCACCTCGCCACCGCGCCTGCATCCTAATGACGGCCCATCGCAGCATGTTGTACCGCATGAACTGCCGCCACGACCGCCACGCGCGCTGAATCACGCGCGCCGCCCACATAAGCCTCTCCGCCCTCAGCGCATCCAGGTCCGCCATCTGCCCTGCTCGTAGGAACACCTTGGTTCTCCCCACCTGTTCAAGGGGAAGGGTATGGGGAGAGCAGGGGGAGAAGGGGAGGAGCCGGAGGGGAGAGTTTTAGGTGCCTCTGAAAGCCTCTCCGCCCTCAGCGCATCCAGGTCCGCCATCTGTCCCGCTCGTAGGAACACCTTGGCCCTGCCCACCTAATAGAATGAGGAATCACGGGAGGCGGGGAGAAGGGAGAAAAAGGAGGGGTTGGTAAGAAGGGAAGTGGTTTATGTGTCAGCCACCCCAGCTTCAGGTCTGCCATCTGCCCTGCTCGTTGAAACACCTTGGTTCTTGATACCTGATTGGGAAGGATGGGGATGGAGCAGAGTCAGGACAAGTGGAGAGTGGGAATACGGTATCTGATGTCCATCCTCCAGCCTCACCCTAACTCCACCACTCCTCCCTCCACCTGCCTGCACCACCAGCTTTCGACCTAAACAGCCCTCTTCTCTCGACTGGTACCCTCCTGTTTGAACTCAGAATGGGTGCGATTGCGGGGTTGGAAAGTTACCTGGAAGTTGCTGAAGCCCAGTCGTTGCAGCATGAGAGTAACGGCTGTCTTGTCGTCGTATCTGCAGTCAAGGAGATGGAAACACGAGGGGGAGCAGGGGAAGAGGGGAGAAAGGGGGAGTGAAACATCAAGCTAAGAATTGAAGCATGAGATTTCCAGTAGCCTCGTGATTGCGATAGAAGAAGGAAAGCAGCGGCCAGGGGGATTGAGGCGAAGAGGGGGACGAAGGAGGATGGCTCGTGAATGAGAGGGTCTGCAATTGACCTTCAATATCACACTGGTCCGGTGCAAGAACAGAGAATCTATTGTGTAATTTGTTGACTTTTGAGTCGACTCAAAAGTCACTGGTCCGATGTGAGAACAGATAATCTATTGTGTGATTTGTCAAGGCGGACGAGTCTTGAGACTTCCACAAGAGTGAAAACTGAACTCCTCCCATTACACACACAAGGTCTGGTGCGAGAACGGGGTATTGTCGTGTCAGGTGTGTTTTGGCACACACCTTCTCCCATCACACAGGTCTGGTGCGAGAACGGAGTCTTTTCATGTCAGGTGTGTTTTGGCACTGACCTTCTCCCATCACACAGGTCTGGTGCGAGAACAGAGAATCTGTCAAGAAACTCATCGAAGGGGCGGCGAGTGGGATAGCCCGCACAGCTGATTCGAATGGCCTCTAGCACGCCCTGTGATGAGATGGGTGAGAGAGGCAGATGGGTGGGAGAGGCAGTGGGTGGGAGGGAAAGTCAAGTGGGTTAGAGAGGGAAGTGAGTGTTTTCAGTTGACTCAGAACTGGTCGAAGGGGTGTCAAGCGCGAGCGATGCAAGGGATGCACCAGAGGGCGGAAATCCAGTTTCACGGAGGTGAGAGGTGAGGGGTGTGCGAGGGGGCCGCACAGCTGATTCGAATGGCCTCCAGCACGCCCTGTGATGAGATGGGTGAGAGAGGCAGGTGGGAGAGAGGCACGTGGGTGAGATGAGAGAGGCAGGTGGGAGAGAGGCACGTGGGTGAGATGAGAGAGGCAGGTGGGAGAGAGGCACGTGGGTGAGATGAGAGAGGCAGGTGGGAGAGAGGCACGTGGGTGAGATGAGAGAGGCAGGTGGGAGAGAGGCACGTGGGTGAGATGAGAGAGGCAGGTGGGAGAGAGGCACGTGGGTGAGATGAGAGAGGCAGGTGGGAGAGGAGGCAAGAGGGTGAGAACAGGAAGTGAGTGTTACTACACAGGATGTGAGAATGGGACTCTAACTTAGCTCAACCACAGCTCAACCGATCTCAACCCAACTCAACCTGACCAGCCCAACTCACCCCGCATCACAATTGGTGGACCACGCTCGGGTTTTCAAAGTGCCCTGAAATGTACTGCCCGTTGGGCTTCAGACACCCACACACAGCACAGATTGTGAGTGGAAATCTAACTCACCTCAACTCACCCAACTCAACCGATCTCAACCCGACTCAACTCACCCCGCATCTGAGTTGGTGAATGACACTGGGGTTCTCAAAGTACCCCGGCTTGTACTGCCCGTTGGGCTTCACACATCGCACGTAGTGAGGGTCCATGTGGCTCAGCGTTGACATCAGCTCCGCCAGTTGTTGCTGCCAGGGGGGGAGGTGGGGGTGGTGGAGAGTAGGGTAGAGGAGGCTTCACTCATCGCACGGTAGTGTGGATCCATGTGGCTGAGTGTCGACATCAACTCTGCTAGTTGTTGCTGTAAGGAGGGGGGTGTGGGGTTGTGGGGGGGAAGTGGGGTCGGGCTTTACACATCGCACGTAGTGCGGGGGCTCCATGTAGCTTAGCGTATGTTTTTTTAGAATTCTCAAAAAACTTATAGTGCGGGGGCTCCATGTGGCTTAGCGTCGCAATCAGCTCCGCCAATTGTTGCAAGGGGGATTGTGCGCTGGAGTGGGGTGGGATGGATGGGTGGAGTAGAGGAGACAGCCGGCATGTGAAGACGTGAGTTGAGTTTTGAGTCGACTCAAAACTCGACTCATTACACGATGGATGGGTGGAGTGGAGTAGAGGAGACAGCCGGCATGTGAAGATGTGAGTCGAGCTTTGAGTCGACTCAAAACTCGACTCATTACACGATGGATGGATGGGTGGAGTGGAGTAGAGGAGACAGCCGGCATGTGAAGATGTGAGTCGAGCTTTGAGTCGACTCAAAACTCGACTCATTACACGATGGATGGATGGGTGGAGTGGAGTAGAGGAGACAGCCGGCATGTGAAGATGTGAGTCGAGCTTTGAGTCGACTCAAAACTCGACTCATTACACGATGGATGGATGGGTGGAGTGGAGTAGAGGAGACAGCCGGCATGTGAAGATGTGAGTCGAGCTTTGAGTCGACTCAAAACTCGACTCATTACACGATGGATGGATGGGTGGAGTGGAGTAGAGGAGACAGCCGGCATGTGAAGATGTGAGTCGAGCTTTGAGTCGACTCAAAACTCGACTCATTACACGATGGATGGATGGGTGGAGTGGAGTAGAGGAGACAGCCGGCATGTGAAGATGTGAGTCGAGCTTTGAGTCGACTCAAAACTCGACTCATTACACGATGGATGGATGGGTGGAGTGGAGTAGAGGAGACAGCCGGCATGTGAAGATGTGAGTCGAGCTTTGAGTCGACTCAAAACTCGACTCATTACACGATGGATGGATGGGTGGAGTGGAGTAGAGGAGACAGCCGGCATGTGAAGATGTGAGTCGAGCTTTGAGTCGACTCAAAACTCGACTCATTACACGATGGATGGATGGGTGGAGTGGAGTAGAGGAGACAGCCGGCATGTGAAGATGTGAGTCGAGCTTTGAGTCGACTCAAAACTCGACTCATTACACGATGGATGGATGGGTGGAGTGGAGTAGAGGAGACAGCCGGCATGTGAAGATGTGAGTCGAGCTTTGAGTCGACTCAAAACTCGACTCATTACACGATGGATGGATGGGTGGAGTGGAGTAGAGGAGACAGCCGGCATGTGAAGATGTGAGTCGAGCTTTGAGTCGACTCAAAACTCGACTCATTACACGATGGATGGATGGGTGGACCGTGGAGTAGAGGAGACAGCCGGCATGTGAAGATGTGAGTCGAGCTTTGAGTCGACTCAAAACTCGACTCATTACACGATGGATGGATGGGTGGACCGTGGAGTAGAGGAGACAGCCGGCATGTGAAGATGTGAGTCGAGCTTTGAGTCGACTCAAAACTCGACTCATTACACGATGGATGGATGGGTGGACCGTGGAGTAGAGGAGACAGCCGGCATGTGAAGATGTGAGTCGAGCTTTGAGTCGACTCAAAACTCGACTCATTACACGATGGATGGATGGGTGGACCGTGGAGTAGAGCAGACAGCCGGCATGTGAAGATGTGAGTCGAGCTTTGAGTCGACTCAAAACTCGACTCATTACACGATGGATGGATGGGTGGACCGTGGAGTAGAGGAGACAGCCGGCATGTGAAGATGTGAGTCGAGCTTTGAGTCGACTCAAAACTCGACTCATTACACGATGGATGGATGGGTGGACCGTGGAGTAGAGGAGACAGCCGGCATGTGAAGATGTGAGTCGAGCTTTGAGTCGACTCAAAACTCGACTCATTACACGATGGATGGATGGGTGGAGTGGAGTAGAGGAGACAGCCGGCATGTGAAGATGTGAGTCGAGCTTTGAGTCGACTCAAAACTCGACTCATTACACGATGGATGGATGGGTGGAGTGGAGTAGAGGAGACAGCCGGCATGTGAAGATGTGAGTCGAGCTTTGAGTCGACTCAAAACTCGACTCATTACACGATGGATGGATGGGTGGAGTGGAGTAGAGGAGACAGCCGGCATGTGAAGATGTGAGTCGAGCTTTGAGTCGACTCAAAACTCGACTCATTACACGATGGATGGGTGGAGTAGAGGAGACAGCCGGCATGTGAAGATGTGAGTCGAGCTTTGAGTCGACTCAAAACTCGACTCATTACACGATGGATGGGTGGAGTGGAGTAGAGGAGACAGCCGGCATGTGAAGATGTGAGTTGAGTTTTGAGTCGACTCAAAACTCGACTCATTACACGATGGATGGATGGGTGGAGTGGAGTAGAGGAGACAGCCGGCATGTGAAGACGTGAGTTGAGTTTTGAGTCGACTCAAAACTCGACTCATTACACGATGGATGGATGGGTGGAGTGGAGTAGAGGAGACAGCCGGCATGTGAAGACGTGAGTTGAGTTTTGAGTCGACTCAAAACTCGACTCATTACACGATGGATGGGTGGAGTGGAGTAGAGGAGACAGCCGGCATGTGAAGATGTGAGTCGAGCTTTGAGTCGACTCAAAACTCGACTCATTACACGATGGATGGATGGGTGGAGTGGAGTAGAGGAGACAGCCGGCATGTGAAGATGTGAGTCGAGCTTTGAGTCGACTCAAAACTCGACTCATTACACGATGGATGGGTGGAGTAGAGGAGACAGCCGGCATGTGAAGATGTGAGTCGAGCTTTGAGTCGACTCAAAACTCGACTCATTACACGATGGATGGATGGGTGGACCGTGGAGTAGAGGAGACAGCCGGCATGTGAAGATGTGAGTCGAGCTTTGAGTCGACTCAAAACTCGACTCATTACACGATGGATGGATGGGTGGACCGTGGAGTAGAGGAGACAGCCGGCATGTGAAGATGTGAGTCGAGCTTTGAGTCGACTCAAAACTCGACTCATTACACGATGGATGGATGGGTGGAGTGGAGTAGAGGAGACAGCCGGCATGTGAAGATGTGAGTCGAGCTTTGAGTCGACTCAAAACTCGACTCATTACACGATGGATGGATGGGTGGAGTGGAGTAGAGGAGACAGCCGGCATGTGAAGATGTGAGTCGAGCTTTGAGTCGACTCAAAACTCGACTCATTACACGATGGATGGATGGGTGGAGTGGAGTAGAGGAGACAGCCGGCATGTGAAGATGTGAGTCGAGCTTTGAGTCGACTCAAAACTCGACTCATTACACGATGGATGGATGGGTGGAGTGGAGTAGAGGAGACAGCCGGCATGTGAAGACGTGAGTTGAGTTTTGAGTCGACTCAAAACTCGACTCATTACACGATGGATGGGTGGAGTGGAGTAGAGGAGACAGCCGGCATGTGAAGATGTGAGTCGAGCTTTGAGTCGACTCAAAACTCGACTCATTACACGATGGATGGATGGGTGGAGTGGAGTAGAGGAGACAGCCGGCATGTGAAGATGTGAGTCGAGCTTTGAGTCGACTCAAAACTCGACTCATTACACGATGGATGGGTGGAGTAGAGGAGACAGCCGGCATGTGAAGATGTGAGTCGAGCTTTGAGTCGACTCAAAACTCGACTCATTACACGATGGATGGATGGGTGGACCGTGGAGTAGAGGAGACAGCCGGCATGTGAAGATGTGAGTCGAGCTTTGAGTCGACTCAAAACTCGACTCATTACACGATGGATGGATGGGTGGACCGTGGAGTAGAGGAGACAGCCGGCATGTGAAGATGTGAGTCGAGCTTTGAGTCGACTCAAAACTCGACTCATTACACGATGGATGGATGGGTGGAGTGGAGTAGAGGAGACAGCCGGCATGTGAAGATGTGAGTCGAGCTTTGAGTCGACTCAAAACTCGACTCATTACACGATGGATGGATGGGTGGAGTGGAGTAGAGGAGACAGCCGGCATGTGAAGATGTGAGTCGAGCTTTGAGTCGACTCAAAACTCGACTCATTACACGATGGATGGATGGGTGGAGTGGAGTAGAGGAGACAGCCGGCATGTGAAGATGTGAGTCGAGCTTTGAGTCGACTCAAAACTCGACTCATTACACGATGGATGGATGGGTGGAGTGGAGTAGAGGAGACAGCCGGCATGTGAAGATGTGAGTCGAGCTTTGAGTCGACTCAAAACTCGACTCATTACACGATGGATGGGTGGAGTAGAGGAGACAGCCGGCATGTGAAGATGTGAGTCGAGCTTTGAGTCGACTCAAAACTCGACTCATTACACGATGGATGGGTGGAGTGGAGTAGAGGAGACAGCCGGCATGTGAAGATGTGAGTTGAGTTTTGAGTCGACTCAAAACTCGACTCATTACACGATGGATGGATGGGTGGAGTGGAGTAGAGGAGACAGCCGGCATGTGAAGACGTGAGTTGAGTTTTGAGTCGACTCAAAACTCGACTCATTACACGATGGATGGATGGGTGGAGTGGAGTAGAGGAGACAGCCGGCATGTGAAGACGTGAGTTGAGTTTTGAGTCGACTCAAAACTCGACTCATTACACGATGGATGGGTGGAGTGGAGTAGAGGAGACAGCCGGCATGTGAAGATGTGAGTCGAGCTTTGAGTCGACTCAAAACTCGACTCATTACACGATGGATGGATGGGTGGAGTGGAGTAGAGGAGACAGCCGGCATGTGAAGATGTGAGTCGAGCTTTGAGTCGACTCAAAACTCGACTCATTACACGATGGATGGGTGGAGTAGAGGAGACAGCCGGCATGTGAAGATGTGAGTCGAGCTTTGAGTCGACTCAAAACTCGACTCATTACACGATGGATGGGTGGAGTGGAGTAGAGGAGACAGCCGGCATGTGAAGATGTGAGTTGAGTTTTGAGTCGACTCAAAACTCGACTCATTACACGATGGATGGATGGGTGGAGTGGAGTAGAGGAGACAGCCGGCATGTGAAGATGTGAGTCGAGCTTTGAGTCGACTCAAAACTCGACTCATTACACGATGGATGGATGGGTGGAGTGGAGTAGAGGAGACAGCCGGCATGTGAAGATGTGAGTCGAGCTTTGAGTCGACTCAAAACTCGACTCATTACACGATGGATGGGTGGAGTAGAGGAGACAGCCGGCATGTGAAGATGTGAGTCGAGCTTTGAGTCGACTCAAAACTCGACTCATTACACGATGGATGGGTGGAGTGGAGTAGAGGAGACAGCCGGCATGTGAAGATGTGAGTTGAGTTTTGAGTCGACTCAAAACTCGACTCATTACACGATGGATGGATGGGTGGAGTGGAGTAGAGGAGACAGCCGGCATGTGAAGACGTGAGTTGAGTTTTGAGTCGACTCAAAACTCGACTCATTACACGATGGATGGGTGGAGTGGAGTAGAGGAGACAGCCGGCATGTGAAGATGTGAGTCGAGCTTTGAGTCGACTCAAAACTCGACTCATTACACGATGGATGGATGGGTGGAGTGGAGTAGAGGAGACAGCCGGCATGTGAAGATGTGAGTCGAGCTTTGAGTCGACTCAAAACTCGACTCATTACACGATGGATGGGTGGAGTAGAGGAGACAGCCGGCATGTGAAGATGTGAGTCGAGCTTTGAGTCGACTCAAAACTCGACTCATTACACGATGGATGGATGGGTGGAGTGGAGTAGAGGAGACAGCCGGCATGTGAAGATGTGAGTCGAGTTTTGAGTCGACTCAAAACTCGACTCATTACACGATGGATGGGTGGACCGTGGAGTAGAGGAGACAGCCGGCATGTGAAGATGTGAGTCGAGCTTTGAGTCGACTCAAAACTCGACTCATTACACGATGGATGGATGGGTGGAGTGGAGTAGAGGAGACAGCCGGCATGTGAAGAAATGCGGGTTGGTCCTTCAGGCTTCACGCATCGCTCGCACGTGTTGCGACTCTATGTTACATCAGAGTTTACATCAGCTCCGCCAGTTGTTGCTGCAGGAAGGGGGGGATATTAAGATTTAGGTGGGATAGATTGAGGTGGGTGTGGAAAAGGAGACAAAAGGTTTTGGAAGAAAACGTATCCTTGAATCCCAGTATGTCAAGGCAAAGGGGTCTATCAAAGCACCTAGCCTTGTGCTCCCAGTAAGTCCCATACCAGTATGTCACTGCATACCAACCAGCCCATCTTGAACCCAAAACCACAAACTCGTCACAAACTCACCTTGAATCCCGAACCCAGAGAAGTGAACTTGGTCTTGGCCTTGTCACCCGAGGGCATGGGGAAAAGCGCAGCCACGAAAGGGTCTACTGACGCCCCTAGCAGCGCCTGGTGCTCCATCACCACGTAGTCCTTGTTCTTCTCCAGAAACAGATCGGTTTGGTAGGTGACCTGGTGTGATGAGGAGGAGAGAGGACCAATCATTCTCCACACACAACCCAGCAGCGCCTGGTGCTCCATCAATCACCACGTAGTCCTTGTTCTTCTCCAGAAACAGATCGGTCTGATACGTGACCTGACGAGGGCAGAGAGAAAGGGAAGCACAAGGCAAGGCACGCAACATCACACCCCAGCAGTGCCTGCCTGGTGCTCCATCAATCACCACGTAGTCCTTGTTCTTCTCCAGAAACAGATCGGTCTGATACGTGACCTGACGAGGGCAGAGAGAAAGGGAAGCACAAGGCACGGCACGCAACATCACACCCCAGCAGTGCCTGCCTGGTGCTCCATCAATCACCACGTAGTCCTTGTTCTTCTCCAGAAACACATCGTTTTGGTAGGTCACCTGGTTTGATTAAGGGGAGAGCAAGGAGGCGAGAGAGAGAGAGAGGGAAACACGTGTCAAGGCATACTCCACACACAACCCAGCAGTGCCTGATGCTCCGTCACCGCGTAGTCCTTGTTCTTCTCCAGAAACAGGTCGGTCTGATACGTGACCTGGTGTGATGAAGGGGACCGACAGGGAGAGGAAGCGCATGGCTAATCGCACACGCTAGCAGCGCCTGGTGCCTCCATCCATCACCACATAGATCTTGTTCTCTTCTACGAACAGGTCGGTTTGATAGGTCACCTGGGGAAGGAGGGGAGGGTTATACGAAGCAGAGTGGGAATAGAGAAGCATGGATAACACGCCTGGTGCTCCTAGCTCTTCTCCAAAAACAGGTCCGCCTGGTAGGTAGGACATCTGGTGTATAGCGAGCAAGAGAAACGGAGAAAACGAGTGACATGAGGAGTCCACGTGTCAAAGAGAACTCCTCCCATCACAACCCAGGAAACCGCCCGCTGCTCCATCACCAAGTGAACCCCTTAATCTTCTCCAGAATCAGGTCCGTTTGCATTCTAAATTTCTCAAAAGCAACTCTGACACCAGCGTAGGGCTCATAACCCCTAGTGCCTTCACCCCATCTAGCTTCCCCAACCCCTGACCATGAACCCCCACCTTCCCAGCATAGTGCTCGATGCTGAAGCCAGTCTGTGAGAGCTTGGACCTGTCAATCAAAGCGACAAAGCAGCGCTTAACCCCCAAGATTAAGCCTAAACCCTGAACCTGAAACCCTCTCACCTTGCCAGCGTAGTGCTCGATGGTGAAGCCAGTCTGTGAGAGCTTGGGCTTGTCGGAGCTCCAAGAGCAACCTTCTGAACCCTAACTCCTAACACCTCTTAGTGCTTACTAGCTAACCCCTATCCCCCAAACCCTGATGGAGCGCACCTTGCCAGCGTAGTGCTCGATGGTGAAGTCGGTCTGTGAGAGCTTGGGCTTGTCGAAGCGTCGATGGGCCCCCACTGTCTGATAGAGCTTCGTGGCAAACGTCTCATGGTTTGACTTGGGAAACATGCTGCATGCATACATGGGAGGAGGAGGGGGGAAGAGAAAGAAAGGGCGGGGATGGGTTGGGGGGAAGGAGACGCTTGTTGAGACTTCTCAGAGGAGGGGAAGGAGTGAGATACGAAGAGGAAGAAAATCCTAGAGAGGTATAAGTATGAAATCAACTAAAACTCCTCCCTGCCCATTGGAGGTTTTTCTCACCATTGTTCGTCCAGGAGAGCAATGATCCCCATTGGCTTCTGCGCAATGCAAACAAGGAGGAGGGCAAACACAACAGCACACCACCACACACAACCGCACGGCACAGCACGGCACAGCACAGAAAAAACAGTATAGAAGAGAATAAGAGTGATGGATGAATCACGGACGAGAGCAGGACATCTCACGTTCTATTCTGCAAAAACATGCCATAAGAAAGTACACTTCCAATACGGTTTCAGTATCCGAAATCAAAGCCTTTTTGTGCAAGCTTAGATACCGGGTCAATGAACCATCATACCTCTTGACATCATGGACCACCAAACCTTCTCTATCCACTAGAGCACATCTAGTTTTGAGCCGCCTAAATCGAGCAACCTTCTAAAACTGCAGGCCACTGTACCTTCTCTATGAGCTTGAGCACGACTTGGTTGTCCTTTGAGTCAACTGAAAAGCCTTCAAACCACAGACCACCGCACTGTACCTTCTCTATGAGCTCGAGCACGTCTTGGTTATCCACAAACTCAATGTAGCTCCAGTCGATCGCTTCGCTCTCATACTCCTCCTGCTCTGCCTTGAACACGTGCTGGTAGGTGGAAAGTAAAGGGGCATTGGGAAAGGAAGCAGAGGCAGAGGCAGGGAGGTGGAGGCTCAAAGTTACCAGTCGATCGCCTCGCTCTCATACTCCTCCTGCTCTGCCTTGAACACGTGCTGGTAGGTGGAAAGGAAAAGGGCACTGGGAAAGGAAGCAGAGGCAGAGGCAGGGAGGTGGAGGCTCAACGTTACCAGTCGATCGCTTCGCTCTCATACTCCTCCTGCTCTGCCTTGAACACGTGCTGGTGAATGGGAGATGAAGGGACAATGGATAATGGGGGGACAAGGGAGGGGCAAGGCAAAAGAGGACAGGAGGGAGGGTGGAAGGTAAAGTCTTGAGGCGTCCATTGCACAGGCTCGCTGTATGGAAGGCCAAGGCCTCCTGCTCTGCCTTAGCCTCTCATATACACGGCTCTGCCTTAGCCTCTCATAGAACCCTAAACACATGCGGTTGAGCTTGCAAGTGAACATGAACAGACGTTGACGCATGGAAAAAACAATCCAAGGCAAGAGGGAGGGAGGGAGAAAGGGAGGGAGGGTTGTTGAATGTTTTTTTGTGAGTGAAGGAAGACAAGTCCATACCCTGCTTTTCCAAACGAAGTCGGGCAAGGCAGGCTTTTCTAGGCAATGCTAGGTCCACTCCACATCTTCCTGATTGCAACACATACAAAGAGATGAAAACCTAGATGTACACAGTACACCCACCTACCCTAGATGTACACAGTACACCCACCTACCCTAGATGTACACAGTACACCCACCTACCCTAGATGTACACAGTACACCCACCTACCCTAGATGTACACAGTACACCCACCTACCCTAGATGTACACAGTACACCCACCTACCCTAGATGTACACAGTACACCCACCTACCCTAGATGTACACAGTACACCCACATGCCCTACCCTGCTCGCACCAACTACTGCCGCGCACACACATACCTGGTTGAAGTGCTGTTGGAGCTTCTCGTTTGCCAGGTTGATACAGAACTGCTCAAAACTGCATGATCACACCAGATAGCACAAACGAGGCACGGGGGAGGGCAAACCAGTTTCAGACGCCGCACAGTTACACAAGACACACAGGAATGCGGAATGACTAAATCGCCGTAAAAGCTCGATGCCTCGTCGATCCCTCCTTCAATCTAACGCTAAAAATATCTCAAGAGCCTAGCCTGGTGCCTTGAAAACTTCCGGAGACTACCTGTAGGCCTGCAAACTCCCCAAGCCTCACCTGTTGGTTTGGAAGCTCACCTGTTGGTTTGGAAGCTCACCTGTTGGTTCGGCAGCTCACCTGTTGGTTTGGAAGCTCACCTGTTGGTTTGGAAGCTCACCTGTTGGTTCGGCAGCTCACCTGTTGGTTTGGAAGCTCACCTGTTGGTTTGAAAGCTCACCTGTTGGTTCGGCAGCTCACCTGTTGGTTCAGCAGCTCACCTGTTGGTTTGGAAGCTCTCGAAGCCGTAGATGTCAAGCACACCAATGATTGACTTGACATGGGGGTCCTGGCCGATAGACACGTTCACCTTGTGCACCAGCCTAGTGGGATCAGGGACGAGGGGGGGGGGGGGGGGGAGAAGGGGGGAAGCAGGGTGGTCCTTTGTAGAAGTTAGAGAGATAGGAGGACTGATAGGGCACCACACACGCCAATGATGGACTTGGCATGGGGGTCCTGACCGATCGACACATTCACCTTGTGCACCAGCCTGGTGGGAGAGAGGGGAAAGAAGGGCGGCTGGTGGTGGGTGTGAGAAGAGAAGAAGCGTTCAAAGGGCAAGGGAAAGAGGGGGATCACACGACACACTGAGCACACCAATGTTGGACACGGAGCTTAGCATTGGCACAAGGGTCCTGCTGTGCACACAAACCACACCCCACCTCATCACACCACAGCACACCACACTCGAACACATAACACAGCTCACCAGTCAAAGAGCTTGGAGTAGATGGTTTTGGCGAGCGTGTCTCGGCTGATCACCGCTGCTAAAACACCACACACGCACACAACACACCCCATACACAAACCATACACCACAGACTACACACCACAAACCACCCATACACCAAAAACATGCCACACTCCCTCATGTGAATGACCCACCCGTCAAAGAGCTTCGAGTAAATGGTCTTGGCGAGCGTGTCTCTGCTGATCACCGCTGCTGCTGGGTCCAGCTCCGACGTGTTGCACCACACATGCAACACATTACACACCAGGAACATACCACCCTCCTGAAGTGCTTTTGAGTCGACTCAAAAGCAGACGTGTTGCACCACACATGCAACACATTGCACACCAAAAACACACCAAGAACATACCACCCTCTTGAAGTGTGAATGACCCACCAATCGAAGAGCTTGGAGTAGATGGTCTTGGCGAGCGTATCTCTGCTGATCACTGCTGCTGCCGGGTCCAACTCCCTCTTGATGTTCCCATCACGAGTCACCAGCGTGCGAGTGATGAGTGATTCTCGCAGTGCTCGCCGATCGCACCTGCAGGTTAAGAGAGCAGGGGGGAAGAGCACTGCATCTCAGTTCTACGACATATCAACCCCCTCTCTTGGTGTTCCCGTCGCCAGTCACCAGTGTGCGCGTTATCAAAGACTCTCATAACGCCTGCCATTTGCACCTGTAGGTGAAACGGGGCAAGGGGGGAAGAGCACAGGAGAGCACAGCACGCACATCAACTCTCCCTTGATGTTCCCGAGGAGCTCCTTACCCGACACGTTGGATGAGTCAGGCCGCTTGTCCCCCTGCCCTGGTTGTTGTGACCACTGAATTACAGACCGACCCACCCACCAGAGCACCAACCTGCTGCGCATAGAAAGCTTGGCTTGTCTGCTTACCCGAGGAGCTCCTTGGCACCTGCGCATAGTGTCTGCTTACCCGAGGAGCTCTGCTGCGGCCTCGAGGTGGAACTTGGCCTTGTCGCCCGACACCTTGGACGAGTCGGGCTGCTTGCCTGCTTGCCTTCCTGATTGTGGTGACCACAAAGGTACAAACCAGCCTAGCAGAGCACAAGCACTGCACTGCACTGCACCCCTCCCTGCCAGTCTTACCCGAGGAGCTCTGCCGCTGCTTCTAGGTGGAACTTGGCCTTGTCACCCGACACCTTGGACGAGTCGGGCTGCTTGTTTGCCCAAATTGCGACCACTGAAGAACCAACCAGCCCCCCAGGGCACCAAATGCACCCACCCCGTGCCGGTACGATGCACACGCACTACAACCCTCCCTCCTAGTCTTACCCAAGGAGCTCCGCTGCTGCTTCCAGGTGGAACTTGGCCTTGTCGCCCGACACCTTGGATGAGTCAGGCTGCTTGCCTGGGGCAAACGAGATGTTGCCCAAGTGCAGAATTGCTGCCACCACTCGGAAAATGGCGTCCTGGTGGGGAGAGAGAGGGGAAAAGGGGGATGGGGGATGGGGGATGAAGTTCATAGGAGCTGGCGTAGTAGCTCCAGCTTGCCTGGAGCGAAGGAGACGTTCCTCAGGTGAAGAATGGCCGCCACCACCCAGAAGATGGCGTCCTGGTGGAGAACGGAAGTAATGGGGTGAGGTGAGAGGTGGAATGGGAGGGACAGCAGTGAGTTCCCAGACGGCTAAAGGTTCATGCTTGCCCGGGGCGCGACGGGGACGTTCCCCCAATGCCACTACTGAACAGAGGCTTCGTGGAAGAGAGAACAGGCGGAGGGATGGGGGGGTAGGGTAGACCCGGAGGAGAGTCGTGGCATACCCATCTGCGTTGCTGCATGGAACAGAAAGAAGCCTCCACCGCTCTCAACCACTCTCAACCCGTCTGTCTCACCTGTTCCCGTGGCTGAGCCCCACCACGTCAATGGCTCTGCGAGTGGCAGCATACTCGTCCGCGTTGTTGCATGCAGTGGGAGGATCTCTTTAGTGTATTTCGCTAACTCGCCCCTCAGCACCGCTTTCAACTGCTCTCACCTGCTCTCAACCGCTTTCAACCGCTCTCACCTGCTCCAGGTGGCTGAGCCCCACCACGTCCATGGCTCTGCGGGTGGCAGGGCAGCATACTCGTCCGCATTATTGCTGTATCCAATCAGCTCGAAGCACGAGCTCTGGTCGGGAACAGGGGGTGTTCCGTGTTGCCACCGCTCTCAACCGCTTTCAACCACTGTCAACCACTCTCACCTGCTCCAGGTGGCTGAGCCCCACCACGTCCATGGCTCTGCGGGTGGCAGCATACTCGTCAGCGTTGTTGCTGTACCCAGTTAGCTCAAAGCAGGAACTCTGGTTGAGGTAGTGGAACGTCTCTGGTGGGGCGAGCTTTAATTTTGCTGCTTCCTGAAACATACACGACAGGTATTGGAGCGAGGACAAGGGAGGTGGGAAGAAACAAGAGAGAGTTTGAGTTGACTCAGATGGCACAATCGTCCGCGTTGTTGCTGTATCTCGTCAGCCCAAAACACGATTTCTGGGAGAGGAAGCACTGGTAGCTTCCATTACGTTGACTCGTACGAAGTGTAGCACTAAAGCAGCTCATATCAAGAGAGGAGATGCGAGAAAGCACAGGAACCGTCAAGGAAAGCACCGTAAGGCAGAAAACGTCAAGGAGCATGCTCACTGCACGTCACGCATGGCGCCAGCACAGAGCTGGTAGAAGCAGTGGCAGTTGCGCTGCGCTGAGGGCGTATCTCAGTTCAGGTCATAGGCACTGTTTGGGTCATCCGAGATTCTTGGACGACCAATAAGGCGCATTTCAGCTACACTCCTGGAATACTATTGGTCCTCCTATGACCCAAAGTGCTTCTATGACCCGAAGTGAGATATACCCTAAGAGTCAGAGGCCAACAGAAGCACTTAGCAAACTACTCGTTAGAAGACGCCCCAAAACATACCTCAGGGGTGGCACCGGCACAGAGCTGGTAGAAGCAGTGGTAGTTGCGCTCAGGATCAGAGGTCTGCACCACTCTGGACCGCTCTAGCAGGTACGTCCGCACTGCTGCCCCCGATATTCGCCCCGCCGCATCAAACTGGATCTCCACAAACTTGCCAAACCGGCTGGTGCGATTTGGATACAGAGGTTCGGGAATCAGGTTTGGGGAGAAGGAGAGGAGGTTGTAGGGAAAAGGTCAGGTTACGGGATGGAGCGGTGTGGCATAGGTTGTAAAAAACTTGCAGTTTGCAGTGTTGTATTGTATGAGAAGCTCGAACACTGGGTGACAGCAGCGAGGATGAGTTGAAATGTGGCGAGATGAAGGGAGATGAGAGGTGATGAGGTGTGATGAGGCAAGATGATGGGAGTGAGGGGAGATGAGATGTGATGAGGCAGGATGAGGTGAAATGAGGCGCTTAGGAAGTGCAGAGATGGCTCAGGGAAATTGAGAGGAGAGGTGTCACGAGGGGGGGGGAGAGGGGGAGGGAGGAGGAGCCGCTGAGGGAGGGAATGGTGATGAAGCAAGGACAGACCTCGAGTTGTTGTTCCTGACTGTCTTGGCATTGCCAAAGGCTTCTAGGAGGGGATTTGACTGCCCGATTTGGAAAGAAGGGAGGGACGGGAGGGAGGGCAGGGGTAGAACGGAGGGAAGGGATGGGAGGGAGGGGTGAGAGGTGGGAGGGAGATGAGGAGTGAGGGAAGGAGGGAGAAGTAAAGGAAGCCTGAGAAGGAGGAGGGGAACAGGAAAAGCTTGAATCAACAGATTAGGGTTAGGGAGATGAAGAGTGCACCGACCCCTCCAATCCCAACCGCTCCCAACCAACAGCATATGTGCATTGAGCCCACACACACATCAGATCACATTGAACCAAAAACGTACAGCCTTCTCTAGTACACATACATCCACTCCACACACACGAGACAAACACCCACACACCCACCTCCAGCACTTGTGCTTCCACGGATTGCCTGCCCGCCCATGTAAGCGAGGTACTGCATGATGAGCTTCGTTGACTCCGTCTTGCCTGCCCCGCTCGTCCCATCCGTACAATACCTGTGAATGTGTTTTCAGTCAACTTAAACCACTCCAAACGCCTACCTCCAGCACTTGTGCTTCCACGGATCGGCCCTCAGTGGCCCGCCCGCCCATGTAGGCCAGATACTGCATGATGAGCTTCGTTGTCTCTGTCTTCCCCGCCCCGCTCTCCCCGCTCACCAGAATGGACTGGCTCTCGCCGCAGTCCAGCATGGCCCTGGGAGAGGAAGGAAAAGAGGGTATCGGGGTATGGGTATCAGAGACTGGGTCGCACTTCATCGTGTGCTGATCTTCTCACCAGGATGGACTGGCTCTCCCCACAGTCCAGCATGGCCCTGAGGAGCGGGGGGGAGGAACAGGCAGTATGATGGGGTATGTGAGACTGGGTCGCACTTCATCATAAGCTGATCTTCTCACCAGGATGGACTGGCTGGGCTGGCGCTACAGTCCAGCATGGCCCTGAGGGGGGGAGGGGGGGGGAGAGAGAGGGTATGCGATATGGAGTTGAAGTGCGCTCATGTTCTCAGTCACCAGGATGGACTGGCTGGGCTGGCGCTACAGTCCAGCATGGCCCTGAGGGGGGGAGGGGGGGGAGAGAGAGGGTATGCGATATGGAGTTGAAGTGCGCTCATGTTCTCAGTCACCAGGATGGACTGGCTGGGCTGGCGCTACAGTCCAGCATGGCCCTGAGGGGTGAGGGGGAAGGGAGGTGGGGGGGACGTGGTTGAGCATTGTGTGTGGGGCATGGATGGAAGAATTGATGTTCGCTCGGGTTCTCACCAGGATGGACTGGCTTGAACCAGTCTAGCAAAGCGATGGAGAGGGGAGGGGGGGGGAGAGTATTGAGCTTTGGCTGAGCCACACATAAATATGAACACACAAACACACTCTCATCCACACGCACGCACAAACAGATCTGCGCGCACATACACACACGCGCGAGGGCGCGCACATAAACACACACGCGAGGGCGCGCACATACACACACACGCGGTCAGGCGCCCACCTGTAAGCAGTCTCGGCGATGGCAAACACGTGCGGGCTGAGCTCGCCCAGGCGCACGCCCTTGTACTGCTCCATCATGGGCTGGCTGTACAGATGCGGCAGCCGCTGAAACGGATTCACTGCGATCAAAATGTTGCCAGTGTATGTCTGCAAAAGTCAAAATCGACAAGCACGCATGAGCAGACAAGGCAAAAGCAGGATGAATTGAGAGGTGTTGAAAAGGGTTCGCCGGTGATCAGGATGTTGCCCGTGTATGTCTGCAGTCGCAGTGGAACAACACGCACAAGTGGACAAGGGAAAGGCAAGCCCAGTCAGAGATCAGAATGCTTCTCGTGTATGTCTGCAGCCAGCGTGGTGCAGGTACCAGTATGCTAGCTTGTTGCATGTACGGATAAGCTAGCTTGGTGCAGGTACGGTGATGCTAGCTTGGTGCAGGAACGGTGATACGCACTTGGTGCAGGTATGAATATGCCCATCTGTCTCGCACATCTCGGCTCGCAGTCTCACACACGCGACTCTGGACTATTGTAGAGCATTACAAAGAACTCGTCAAGGCCGTATCTTGTAGGGTGGAATTTCACACACATCTCGTCCAGGCACAGGGAACACGTGTGGACTCTGAAGGTGCCTCACATAAATCTCGTCAAGGCTGTAGCGCGTGGCGAGGTTGCTGAGCACGTCCGGCTCGTGACGGTACGCCAGCTTGTCTCACACGCATCTCTAACTGGCAGTCTCACGCACACATGTCTCTTACTCCCACCGGCCAGCCTTACGTAAATTTCATCAAGGCCGTAGCGCGTGGCGAGGTTGCTGAGCACGCCCGGCTCGTGCAGGTACGCCAGCTTCGTCATGTCGTCCACTCCGCCGCTTGGCGCGTCGGGGTCCTTGGGATGCACGTTGGATAGCTTTAGAGTGGCCTGCGGTGGAATGGGGGGAAATGTTTTCGGTCAAGTCGAAACGTTCGCTTAGCGCGTGGATCCTTGGGATGTACGTGGGTTAGCTTCAACGTGGCCTGCGGAGGAATTGGAGGGAATGCGTTTTGCAGAGGGAATGACACGCGTCATCCTTGAACGGAAGCTAGGACCCGGGTCCTTGGGATGCACGTGGGACAGCTTCAGGGTGGCCAGCGGTGGAATGGGAGGGAATGCTTTGATTCGAGTCAAAACGCCGCTCGGCGCGTCCGGGTTCTTAGGATGCACGTGGAATTAGCTTCAGGGTGGCCTGATTCTGCTTTAGTGGAGATGGTATGCAGTGAGCTCGATATGCGGTCAGAATAAGGCGTGAGAGTAACGACTGATGAGGTCTTCAAATGAAAAGAAAATCAGCGCCGTGTGAACTGGCAGCAGGAACAATGGTCTCGACATAGGCGAAATATGGGCCGGAATACGCTAAACTGACTAGAAAACGGACCTCTTTCCGTCCAATCTTGACGGTAACAGTCTTGCTGTCTACTCCGAGTACTTCTGCCGGCATCCATGCCTTCTGCGCGTCCTCCACCCACACGTACGACCCCACCACTATGTTGCTCGCCGTGGCCTACACGATCAGGAATTAAGAGAGTATGTTAGAACGAGAGACGATAACTGTAGCGAGGAAATCTGTTCTTAAAGCAGTAACGTACCATTTTCGCTGACGAATGTCTGTTCAGCGAGTTACTAGGCTAGAGGTATCTATCCAATCCGCATGGCTATACGTAAGCTACAGAGTAACTACTAACAGTTCGCCAACGGGAACGCGTGAAAATCGGCACCATTCACTAGTTCCCTATATCGTAAGAGGTCACATAGCTTTTAAAGATCGCCGGTCTAGGGAGGTCGAACAGAGTCCGAAGTTTGAATAGGCCGTGTCAGGTTCCAGAGAATGATTGCGTGTGTTGTTTGAAGAAGATTGACCTAGCCTGCACCGTTGAAGTGCAAGTTGATCGAACGAAAACGCGTGAAAACTGACACTCTTAACTCTAGTTCCGTAGACCACAATAGGTCAAATAGCTTCTAAAACGGCGTCGGCTTGGGGGAGGTAGAAGATGCTCAAGTTTGAACAGGCTGTGTCAGGTCTCAGAGAAACGCAGGAAACGCAATGGCCAAGCTTGGAAGAAACTAGACCATGGGAACGGCTAAGATTGCTTTGGGGATGACGAAGGTGAGGGAACGGCTGGGATGGGTAGCACCGAACAAAACGGGGAGAAACAGCGTAACGGACGAAGCGCAGCTGCGGGCAAGATCAAGGTTCCAGCAGCCAATCATGGTCGCCTTCGTCCACGCCAAACCAAACCACTTTCGTGCCGCACCTTCCTGACTTTCCACGCTCTCCCTCCAAACTGCCGCTTGGCTTGTGGGGAACGTGGCAGGTTGCATTCTGCATGTGTGACCCATAAAATTGGCGACAAAAGCCCCAACGTGTCCCATTACAGAATGTTTCATATCAGAGTTGAAAAGAAATTTCTCTAGTCTTTAGTATAATGGTGAATGACATCAAAAAGCCGGCCTAGTGTACTATTATGCATTCTTGACTCGCGAAACGGCGAAAGAACGACTCTCTGACTCATTGGCCAGCAGTTCTGACACACCGATGGAGGGAAACTGCTCTCGCTGTAACCAACAAAATTGTTTCGTTACGACCAAGATCACTTTCGCATCGTTACCAGCCCACTCAAGGTTGGAGCCTTCAGGCCTTCGTTACCTACCTCATATATTGTTAGGCGTCCCGTTTCTTCCAGAGCTTTGTGGAAAATTCAAGCCAGTGATCAACGGGCGATCAGCTATAGAGCCCTTTAAAAGTGGTTCAGATAACGGCCGAACGAACAATAGGCGGCAATTAGGGACAGAGATCAACTGTGCTTGTGTTGCTCCGAAAAATCGGTCACGTCGCGATCTTTCGTTACAGCTGAACACGTGACCTTTCTCAACCGCTTCTGCGTGCGATCACGTTTCCTAGCACGCGACGCGTCTTCTCCGGTGTGATTTTTCAATATGGAGGTACAGCTCACAAGTGTTTTCGTGTCGTCTTTGCCCGATCCATACTTATATTCTGAAGTGTGCTAGCGCCAGCATGCTCGATTAGGAATGCCTTGCAGACTCCGTTCCTTCCACGCAACCCGCTGCGGATCCGTGCTGTTTTTTGGCGGAGGAGAGCTTGAAGTGGCGCTTCACTGAGATAGAGCCTATTTAAGAATCATGGATCCGTCACCGTCCGCAATTGCGATGGCCTAAGTGACGTTCTGCCCGACGCACCGGGTGGAAGCGACGTGCTGCTGGAGTTCCGCGCTGGGAGGATGACTGTCCATCCAAGACATCTCCGGTTTCCTGCTTCATAGATCGCGCTGACTTTTGAGTCGACTCAAAAGCGAGTTGACTTTTGAGTCGACTCAAAAGTCAACTCGCACCGGGTGGAAGCGACGTGCTGCTGGAGTTCCGCGCTGGGAGGATGACTGTCCATCCAAGACACCTCCGGTTTCCTGCTTGATAGATCGCGCCCCTCTCCTATGTCCATGGGTCTAATTTGTGGGCCAGTCCGACGCACCGAATGATGGTGATGTGCTGCTGGAGTTCCATGCTGGGAGGATGACAGTTCATCCAGCCATCATCCGGCCTCCTTATGATAGATCTCTCTCCTCTTTCCTCTCCATGGGTGTGGTTTGTGTGGCAGACTGACGCACCGAGTGATGGTGACGTGCTGCTGGAGTTCCGTGCTGGGAGGATGACTGTCAGCGGCAGCACTGTGAAACCCGACCCTCGCAAGGGCCTGTTCCGGCTGATCAGGGTCAGTTTCGGGGTCGTATTGTGGATTCGTAAAGATCAAGGCTGAACCTAGATCTTTGCCATTGCTTTGGGTCATAAGTAGTTTCGTTCGTTCAAGGTCCCTGGGTCTAAAGATGTCTGACTGGTTTTGAGCGGGTTTCAGTGGGTCTGAGTGAGTAGGTTTGTGGGTTTGTGAGCACACATGTTGTTTTCTCTTCCCTTGTCGCATTACCTCCTTGTCTTTTCACCCTTTCCCCACCAGACGGAGGACCTGCTGCTCCACCTGCAGTGGCTGGATCGCACCACCCAAGCCGTAGAGGAGGACATGGTGGTGTTCCCAGATGAAGCTAAATTCGAAAAGGCAAGTCCGGGATTCGGAATTGGAATCAGCCCTGAGTCGGAGTGGTGTTGGGCTGTCTCTTGCCTTGAGATCTTACAACTGTGGGTCGCACCACCCAAGCTGTTGAGGACGATATGGTGGTGCTCCCAGTCCAAGATCAAGCAAAGTTCAGAAAGGCAAGCTGGAATTCGAGTGTCTAGCTTTGTGTTGTTGAAATCCTATGGATCTTGTTCATTGTGTTGCCATGAAAACTTTCGCGAGGTCCAACCAAGACACCTCAACACTGGACCGCCGATTAACATCACCGGTGGTGATGTGAGCGCGCGTACGTGCTCTTATGGCTGAGGTGACTTCTGGGCCGAATCAAGGAAATCCTGACTTGTTGCTCTTCTCTCCGTTCGTCTCTCCAGGTCTCCCAGTCCAGTGGGCGAGTGTTCGTGCTCTCCTTCAATGAGGACGACCGCAAGCTCTTCTTCTGGATGCAGGTGCGCGCGCTTGGATGGGTGCAGGTGGGCTTGCATGGGTGGAGGTGGGATTGCATAGGGGCAGGTGGGCTTGCATGGGTGGAGGTGGGATTGCATGGGGGCAGGTGGGCTTGCATGGGTGGAGGTGGGATTGCATGCGGGCAGGTGGGCTTGCATGGGTGGAGGTGGGATTGCATGCGGGCAGGTGGGCTTGCATGGGTGGAGGTGGGATTGCATGGGGGCAGGTGGGCTTGCATGGGTGGAGGTGGGATTGCATAGGGGCAGGTGGGCTTGCATGGGTGGACGTGGGATTGCATGGGGGCAGGTGGGCTTGCATGGGTGGAGGTGGGATTGCATGCGGGCAGGTGGGCTTGCATGGGTGGAGGTGGGATTGCATGCGGGCAGGTGGGCTTGCATGGGTGGAGGTGGGATTGCATGGGGGCAGGTGGGCTTGCATGGGTGGAGGTGGGATTGCATGCGGGCAGGTGGGCTTGCATGGGTGGAGGTGGGATTGCATGGGGGCAGGTGGGCTTGCATGGGTGGAGGTGGGATTGCATGCGGGCAGGTGGGCTTGCATGGGTGGAGGTGGGATTGCATAGGGGCAGGTGGGCTTGCATGGGTGGAGGTGGGATTGCATGGGGGCAGGTGGGCTTGCATGGGTGGAGGTGGGATTGCATGCGGGCAGGTGGGCTTGCATGGGTGGAGGTGGGATTGCATGCGGGCAGGTGGGCTTGCATGGGAATGGGAGCTTCACTCACCTCTCCAGGTGTCCCAGTCCAGTGGCCGCGTGTACGTGCTCTCCTTCAATGAGGACGACCGCAAGCTCTTCTTGTGGATGCAGGTGGGCTCGCTTGCTAGTCCATATGCTTGAGATTTGCTTTTCTGAGTGTGACTATCCTTCACCTCCGGCCATTCCTCCACTGATCCATCCCTTGATCCTTCTCCTGATCCATCTTCACCAAACCAACACCCCCCCCCCCCCCCCCCCCCCCCACCTCCACACTATTTTTCTCAGGAGCCCAAGGCACACAACGACGAGCATCACTGCTCCGAAGTTAACCGGATACTGAACGAAGCTTGTAAGTCGTTTCATACAGGGAACGGCAACTGGCCAGAGTTGTTTCATTCCGCACTGAAGGATCTGGCTATTTCTCGTTTCATCAGTCTTCCTACGCAGACCTTTCATTTCAATCCTAATGCGATTTGTCACAAAAAGGCCTTGAGGCAAAGCGTTTGGGGTGTCTAATTTAAGATCTTAAGCGTTTTGGGATTTTTTAGTTCTGAAAGTCAAAGGCGTGTCTGATTTTGATCTTTAAGACCTGCGTCAAAGGCTTTGGGGTGGCTGATTTTGTTCTTTAATATCTTAAGGTCAAAGGCTTTAAGGTGTCTGATTTTGTTCTTTAATATCTTAAGGTCAAAGGCTTTGGGGTGTGTGCCGCCGAAGTCCTGAGGTTGATGCTCCCTAAGTGGGGCACCTGTGTGCACGTGTATGTTGGGTTAAATGCTAATCCAATGTGTGTTCCTTTCGATGCTGTATGCATGCAGGGTTGCTAGAGGAGGACGCCAGGATGCTGGATGCAGCAATGATGGGCTCTGAGGCCGATGCTCCCCGTGTGTGTTGGTTGGATGGAACTTGGCCACATGATTCGCATCACAAGTGTGTATGTGTGTTCTGATACCCCATTGCAGGGCTATTAGGGGAGGAGGACGACAGGGTGCTGGATGCAGCAATGATGGACTCTGAAGCCGATGCTCTTCTGTGTGGGGGACACATGTACTCACCTGTGTGTTCCAATCCTTTGTCTGTACCCTGTCGTCTTTGGAGTTGCAGGGCTATTGGAGGAGGACGAGCGGGTGCTGGACGCAGCAATGGTGGACTCTGAGGCCGATACTCTGTGTGTGTGGTCCATACACGTGTTGATGCCCCATGCAGGGTTGCTAGAGGAGGACGACCGGGTGCTGGACGCAGCCATGATGGACTCTGAGGCCGATGCTCTTGTGTGGGGAGCATATTGGCACATGTATTCACCAGTGTGTTTCAATCAAATGTGTGTTCTGATACCCCATTCCAGGGCTACTGGAGGAGGACGACCGGGTGCTGGACGCAGCCATGATGGACTCTGAAGCCGATGCTTTCGCGGAGAATGAGGAGGGTCATCTGGGGGAGGCGGATATGCATGACGATGGGGACAGCCACCAGGTGCTTGCGCCTGCAGCAGCACAGCAGCCCAGGTAGGTAGTAGTAGGGGGTCGTTCGTTTTGCATGTAAAGGAGGAGGGCCATCTGGGGGAGGTGGATATGCATGACGATGGGGACGGTCACCAGGTGCTTGCGCCTGCTGTACAAGACGTTGCAGCACAGCAACCCAGGTAGGCGTTAGGTAGCATTGTCCATTGCATGTGAGGAAGGAGGGTCATCTGGGGGAGGGCAGATATGAATGATGACGGGAACAGCCACCAGCTCACAGGACAGGCGCCGGCCCGGCAGCACTACAGCAGCCCACGTAGGTGGTAGGGAGGGCAGTCATCTAGGAAGGGTCATTTGGGAGAGGCGGATATGCACGATGATGGGGACATCCACCAGCCCACAGCACCTGCAGCAGCACAGCAGCCCAGGTAGGGAGTCAGAAGCATTGTCCATTGCATGTGGGGGAGGAGATATCTGGGTGGGGGCTATCTGGAGGAGGTGGATATGCTTGATGACGGGGACAGCCACCAGCTCACAGCACCTGCACTGCAGCAGCACAGCAGTGATCAGAAGCACTCTTTTGTCATAGCATGTAGGGGAGGAGAGGGGCATCTGGGGGAGGATAGGGGCATCTGGGGGAGGAGAGGGGCATCTGGGGGAGGAGAGGGGCACCTGGGGGAGGAGAGGGGCATCTGGGGGAGGAGAGGGGCATCTGGGGGAGGAGAGGGGCACCTGGGGGAGGAGAGGGGCATCTGGGGGAGGAGAGGGGCACCTGGGGGAGGAGAGGGGCACCTGGGGGAGGAGAGGGGCATCTTGGGGAGGTAGATATGCATGATGATGGGAACAGCCACCATCTTATGAGGCAACTTCTTAGACGTCTCAAAAGGAGATATGCATGATGATGATGGGGATAGCAAGCATCTTATGAGGCACCTCCAGCTGTAGGGTTTCTTTGAGAATTCTCAAAAAAAAACTTACAGCATCATGGGGATAGCAAGCATCTTATAAGGCACCTACAGCTGTACGGTTTTTTTTTTTTGAGAATTCTCAAAAAAGCCTCACAGCATCATGGGGATAGCAAGCATCTTATGAGGCACCTACAGCAGCACAGCAACGCAGGTAGTTAGAAGGGAGCTACTTCCATTGGATGTGGGGGGGGGGGATGGGGCTAGGGAGGGCCATCTGGAGAAGGCGGATATGAGCATTGACGAGGTTGCTTGCTTTCCCTGCAGAAAGCGACCAGAACCATCACTTCGTGAACTATCATCCCTGGCCTGGCCTTGCCCCACAGGCCTGCCCGCAGCAGTGGCGTGGCGCGCCATGCCGCCGGACCCACAGTTGGCGTTCTTTTTCATGGAGAATCAACATGATTATCACTTCTTTCCTGTTTCCTCTCTTCCCTCTCTTGCCCTGCCTTACAGACCAGCCGGCAGCGGTGGCGCCGTGCCAGCAGGCCCGCAAGGGTCGTCCGGTTTTGGCGACCTGAGAGGCAGTGCTGCTGCAACTGGTGCTGCTGGCGCTGCTGGCGTTGATGCTTCTCGTGGTGCTGCCGCTGCTCTTGGTGCTCCTGGTGTTGCTCCTGCTGCTGCTGGTGGTGGTGGGAGAGTAGCAGGGCCGGTGCAGTTGGCGCAGCTGCAGAGCATTCTGGCTGGTCTGGGTCAAATACAAGTGCCGCAACACTGTGAGTGGAATGACAAACCCTTTCCTCTCTCAACCCTCCTTCCGGCGCAAGTGCCTTGGTAGCCTGGTACATCCAGGGCAGCTGGCTGCTGGTGCGATTGGGGCAGCTACAGAGCGTTCTGGTGTGTCTGGGCCAAATACAAGTTCCGCCACACCGTGAGTGGAATGACAAACCCTTTCCTGTCTCAATTCTCCTTCTGGCGCCTGGTACATCTACGGCAGCTGGTGCATGCGATTGGGGCAGCTGCAGAGCATTCCGGCGGGTCTGGGGCAAATACACGTGCCGCCACACTGTGAGTGGAATGCATGCCCGTCGGACGTGCACGTCCAGTGCCCGATGACATCATCAACCGAAGTTATCTTTCCTTGCTCCTGCACCCTGCTATTTAGTGCGAGTCACCATCTTCGAAAGCTGTCGAACTTAACATTTCACAACTGAGCTTGATAATTCATCAACTATGATTACTTCAGCATCTAATTCTTCATCTATTTTTTCTGATCTCATAAGAAAATGGAATTAGCCTTTTGCTTTAAACAAGAAATGAGATCAAAAGATTTAGACAAAGAATTTGATGCTAGAGTAATTATGGATGATGGATCAATTGTAAAATGTTGGCGGCTTTCGAAGGTGGTGGCTCGCAGTAAGTAGCAAGGTGCAGGGGCAAGGAAAAAAAAAATTGGCCGATGATGTCGGGCACTGGGTGTGCACGTTCGACTGGCCCTGCCCTTCTTGAAACTGCGCGCCGTGAAAGCAAGGATTGTGAGGATGGGCGACTTTTTCTGATGCGTGAAGTCTTCACGGGCACTCTCAGCGATGCCATTGTGTGTGCATCCCTTCGTGTGTGCATGCAGTTAGAGCAAGGAGCATGAAGCTGACGGAAATTCTCAAGCCTAAGGTCATGATGAGCACCCTCAGCGATGGCACTGTGTCACAAAGTCCTTCCCCCTGTCCACACCCGTGCGCTGTGCCCTTCTGGCTCATCCCCTCGTGTTTATGCGCAGTGAGAGCAAGGAGCATGAAGCTAACGGACATTCTCAAGCCTGAAGTCATGATGAGCACCCTCAACGATGGCACTGTGCAGCAGAGACTGGCTCAGTTCCTCCCGCCTGTAAGTACCCTCCCTGCTCTGTGGTTTGGGTTAGAAACATCTCGTAACCCCTTTTTCAAGCCTGAGGTCATGATGAGCACTCTCAGCGATGGCACAGTGCAGCAGAGACTGGCTGGGTTTCTCCCCCCTGTGCGTGTCTCTTTCTACTCTGATTTGAGACGTCTAAGAACCCCTCGTTGTTCTCTATTGAGGAGATCCGCTCCTTATTCTTGAATAAGGAGTCTCATGTGCACTGTAGCATGTAAGAACCGACAGAGCCCTCTTTCTGCTACATGCCCTCTTGCTCTCTTGCGTCTCGTACGTATCGCCTCATCGCCATCCAACGGTTTCTCTTTCAATAATCGTGATTCCGTGCTTCCATGGACCAATTCCTTTTCTTGTTTAGCTCAAAGATCCCTTTCTCCCTGTGATGAGGGACCCAAATGGCAATCCAAAAGGCACCTCCAAACCTCAAAACTGAGCTCTCCCCTTTTGCTTTTCCCCTGATGGGCAGGAGCTGAGGAAACCAGAAGACATGCGGCAGCTCGTGCTGAGCCCGCAGTTTCAGCAGCAGCTGGACGCATTTTCCGAGGTCAGCAGTGCTTCTTTCCAGAGCGTCCTCTGCCTCCTCTCTTTTCTAGTGCCACAGGCACACACGCGCGCGCGCGCGCACACACACACACACACACACGCACACACACACACACAAACACACGCATTTTTCTGTACATTTCCCACTAGCCATTTGCTCTCGTTGCTCTTGCTGCTCTCATTCCTCTACTCTCTCTCTCATTGCTCTCGTTGCTTTCATTGCCTCAACTTTCATTGCCAGGTGTTGCTTGCAGGAAAGATCGACCTCTCGCAGTTTGGCATTGATGTAAACAAGTGTAAGTTCTTTCACAGCCTCAGGGCGTATCTCTGGGTTCGGGTCATGAGCACTGTTCCGGGCATCCGCGATTTGCGCATGACCCGAAGTTCTTTCACAGCCTCATTTGATCGTTTGGCATGGATTTAAAGGAGTGCGATTCTTGTCTTTCTCTTTCATGCACAGGGCATCGGCTCAAGCGAATATACTCAGAAGAAACAACATTTTCTTGCATAAATTTATCTCTTTGCAGATGGGTACGGAGTGGTATCTTTCCTGGAAGCTATTGAAGACACCACCCCTGTGCCATCTGCTATTGCTGCTGCTGATGAACCTTCCTCCAGTGCTGCTGCTCCTGCTGCTGCTGCTGTTGCCCCTGCAAGCACATCTGCAGCTGGCACTTCTGCTGCTGCAGATGGGGAGGCGGCCCCGCAACCAGCAGCAGGGGTGGAGCAGGGAGAGGAGTCAGTGGAGAAGAAGGAAGGGGCTGGCAGATAACACGTGGTCAGGTGATTGTTCCAACTGACAACTGATCACAAGCAGTGATTCTGCCGCTCGAGATGAAGTAGGGGAGAATGTGGCTGTCGTTGTCTAAAATGCTTCAAGGACAAATGAGATGTTTCGTTGAAGCCTTCACGAAGTTTCTCTCCACGTAACTCATCTTGTAACAGAGCATTGTAAGAGGGGCATGATTTTCCAGCTTTACGTGTGAGATCTGAAAGGTGGAGAGCAACTTTTTTAACATTAGCCGTTAATCACGAAAATGTGAAACTTAGTCGCGTGAAGTCAAAACGAGGATTACGCGTGAAGATACACGAGGAGGTGTTACAGAAGCGACTACTGTTCGGTTCGGTTCGGTTTCTAGATTTATCGTCTCGGTATGAGTCGAGAGCTGTGACACGGATAGTGATGATTTCGAAGGTTTCGGAACGCTTCGTGCAGCCATTCGCACGTCGTCATCCTCTTGCACATTCCGTTCCCAGGGAACTTGGCCTACTCTGACATGTCACACGCTCTTGGGAACGACGGAAGGAATGTCAGAGACAACTTTGGGCTTTGTTCCACATTCGATCTAATAGGAAAACTTTGCCAGAAGAACAGGCGGCTGGATTAACTAGTTTACAGCTAGACTAAAGGGTAATGTTGTTGCTGAGACTGTAGGGGATGATTTAGGTGAGTAGATATTCCCGCAAAACTTTCCTACACATCTTTCGAGCTGTTAACGCGCAGCCTTCTTTAAATTCAGTTCTTCACGTTTGCGACACGTGCTACACTGTAGCACAGTTCCCTGATCACTAACTAATTGGTCGTAGCAGAGCGTTCACTGACTATATCGGGTATGGGACAGGGTCGATATCAGTGAAGCAAGCTCATGGCCGTTTGTTGGGCGCCTTTTAAGATTATTTTTCATACACTGCTGCCTTCCTAATATGAGCCGAGAAGAACAGGGTCGATATCAGTGAAACGCATGGCGGCCTCTCTCGTGACTCCTGCCTGCGGGTCTATTGTCGATAACCTCCGGTCGAGTTGTAATTCGTTACAAGCACGTCCGCTTATAGCAATTCCGCGTTCTGTCACTTCTTCATCCAGTTTATCCTTGGCATCCAGTCGCGCTATAGTGTTTTCTGGAGGCTCGAAACCTGTTATACTGCAGCCAACAGGGCCGTCGCGAGTATCGAATTCGAGAGGGAATTCGAAATGTTTGATTTGTGATGTCACGTCGGTAGCACGGCTTTGTGTGGTAACCCCCCTCTCAACGTCTGTTTTCAAACGGGAACCTCTTGAAGCCCTCTCCCTTGGAAACGGTATTCCCAAGGGGATTCGACCACGATGGAAGTTCATTGGCGGGAACCAGACTCAACTAGGGGACACGTGGCAGCTGATGGAGACACGGCGGCATGGGTGGGCTCGCGAGGGGGAGAGCGAGGGCGGGGGTGTGACTGCAGCGAGGGACGGGCGATACAAGTTCAACCTGAACGAGTACATGGTGACTATAGAGAAGCCGCTGGGGATCTGGTTCTCCCAGACGGATAGCGGAGCAGTTTATGTCGAAGCACTGCAGGAGAAGGTACGTATAGGGAAAGGGAATAACCACGCTGGGGATAATGTTTTGGCAGGAAGTGCAGGGCAAACGTTCGCTTAACTGTGTTACTGTAAAAGGTTATTAATATGATCTGACCATTTTCATCGAGGCGAATGTGATTGTATCAGGGGAACGCGGAGCGCGGGCAGATGGTGATGGTGGGGGATGTGTTGCGACAGGTGTCGGTTGCTCAAGGCACGCCGCTTACACGAGTCGTTGATCTTCAATCCCTCGTGTATGTATGATGCCGCTCGCACGATTCAGTGACCTTTTATCGCTCGTGTAAGTCACCTTTGAGACGTCTCAAGAGGTATGGAGAGGCAGGTGTCAGTGGCTCAGGGCTCACCACTCACTCGAGTCATTGACATTCAACTCAATCGCTCGCTCAGGTATGTGTGTGTGAACATACATAAGGAGTATGTGCTTCTAGATCCCTCGTGTATGTGTTTAAGTGTGCATGTATGTCCTCCATCTCTCAATCCTCAATGCACGTATGTGTGACCTTCATCCCTCATTCCCTACAGAACCGCAATCGAGGAAGGCAAGGGCCCATGCACGTTCGTGTTAGAGCGAGCCCTTCACGCCCCCACCACCCAACGCATCATCCTCTCATTTGGTTCAAACTCGTCCCCTTTGTCCCCCCAATCTCAACACTTTGCAGAAGTGCAATCGAGGAGGGTAAGGGTCCGTGCACGTTCGTGTTAGAGAGAGCCCTTCACGCCCCCACCACCCAACGCATTATTCTCTCGCACCCTCTCCGCTCCGACAATCCCGGCCGCTCAGCAGCTGCCACGTGGCACCACCCGTCCAGCTGGCCGCGCTACAGTGCCAGCAGTGCCATGTCAGCACGGACACTGTTCATGAGGGGGGGAGCTGGGCGGGTGGGACTTGTGTCGTTTTCTGAGTTAAGGCCACATGGGGAGAAGAGGAGAGAGAGGAGGGAGTGGGGTGGGGGACAGGGAAGGGGGGAGGGTAGGGTGGAGGAAGGGACGAGGGAGGGGAGTGAGGGGAGGACGGGAGAGGAGGGAAAGGGTGGATCGGGGCAAAGTCAAGAGCAAGAATATGGCATTAGTGATGGTGGTGGTGGCACTGATGTTGAGAGCGAGGAGAGGGGTGAATTAAAGGAGAAGGGAGAAGTGAGAAGAGAGGTGAGGGGTGGTGGACAGAGGGAGAAAGTGGGTGAAACAGTGGGGATGGTGGTAGCAGCAAGAGGAGAGGGAGAGCTGGGGAATGAGACAGCTTTAGGTGTGAACGAGTCTGAAGTGATCCAGCATGTTAGAGAGGCAGAGGTAAGGGTAGCGAGGGAAGGGGAGGGGTGTCAGGAGGATGGGGGGAAGGTGGGGGATGGGGGGCAGGTGGATAGTGGGGGGGAGGTGGAGGGTGGAGGTGAGGTGGAGGGTGGAGGGGAGGTGGAGGGTGGAGGGGAGGTGGAGGGTGGGGGAAAGTTGGAAGACCGGGGGAAGGTGGAGGGGGTGGGCGTTCCAGAAGGAAGGGGAAAGATGAATGAGGCGTTGGATGAAAAGGAGAAGAAGAGTGTACACGGGGAAGTGAGCATGGGAGATGGAGAAGGGGAGAAAAGGGTGGATGTGGGGATGGGAGAGGAAGAAGGTTTGAAGGGTGGGGAGGCACAGAAGGCGGGGGGGAGGGGTGTGAGGGCGATACTAGGAGGCACTTTATGGGGTAAGAAAAGGAAGACAGGGAGGGCGAAAGGAGAGGGAGGAGAGGGGAAGGAACGGGTGGAGCAAGCACAGGCGGAGCCAGAGTGGGTCCTATTTCCATTCTTTGAGGGGAAGCTTGTGTCTGGCTCGGACTCAGGTCCGGATTCCGGAGCTGACGAGAGGTCTGGTGAGCAGAACACGACAGGTTCGGGTCACGGTTCGGAAAGTCGAGTGGCTGAAGGCCAAGCCTCTGAAAGCCAAGCCTCTGAAACTCAGGGTCTGACCGAAATTGAGGAAATGGTTTCGGGGGGAGAGGGTCTGGTAGAAGAGGGGGGGGCTGGCAGGGAAGCGAGCTTAAAGGGTGGGGCTGGGGCAGGTGGAGCTGGGGAAGGTGTGAGCTCAGTTACAGGGGATGCGGCTCAAGAAGCTAGTCAAGAGAAGATGGAGCAGAGGGATAAGGATCTGCAGAGAAAGGGGGTTACTGAAGGGAGGGGAGGAGAGGAGGAAGAGAGGAGAGGAGAGGATGAGGAGGAGGATGGGGCGGAGTGGGCGCAAGCAGCAGAGGCAGCAGCCGCTCTTGCAGCGGCAATGAGAGGGTCGAAGGGAGAGGAGGGCAGAGAAGGCGACGAGGAGGGTATGGGAGTGAGGGGCGATAGGGGCGAAAGGGAGGGAGGCGAGGTGGGGGAGGGTGAGAGGGAAGAGTGGTTTGAGGAGGGGAGGCAGCAGGGGAGGAAGGATGCGGATTGGCAGTGGCCAGAGCGCGGTTTCTGGGATGCTTCCTCTGGGAAGGACGGGGGAGTGGAGGGGGAGGGGAAGTGGTGGGGGCTTGGGGTGGGGCGGGTGGATGAATTTGTGGAGGCGTATACAAGAGGCGTGGGTGATTCGAGATTCGAGCCGCTTCACTCGCCAACTCACACACAGGTGAGGGAGAATGGTGTGTGTGGTGTGTGTGGTGCGTGTGGTGTGCATGGTGCGTGTGGTGTGTGGTGTATGTATGGTGCGTGTGGTGTGTGGTGTATGTATGGTGCGTGTGGTGTGTGGTGTATGTATGGTGCGACTTGAGCACAGCTTTTGGGGGCTTGGGGTGGGGCGAGTGGATGAATGTGTGGAGGCATATACAAGGGGCGTGGGGGCCTCGAGGTTTTAGCACTGCATTCACCCACTCACACACAGGTGAGGGAGAATGGTGTGTGGTTTGTACCTGAGCATTTGGCCTTCGGAGCAGCATTTGGCCTTCGGAGCAGCATTTGGCCTTCGGAGCAGCATTTGGCCTTCGGAGCAGCATTTGGCCTTCGGAGCAGCATTTGGCCTTCGGAGCAGCATTTGGCCTTCGGAGCAGCATTTGGCCTTCGGAGCAGCGTTTGGCCTTCGGAGCAGCGTTTGGCCTTCGGAGCAGCGTTTGGCCTTCGGAGCAGCGTTTGGCCTTCGGAGCAGCGTTTGGCCTTCGGAGCAGCGTTTGGCCTTCGGAGCAGCGTTTGGCCTTCGGAGCAGCGTTTGGCCTTCGGAGCAGCGTTTGGCCTTTGGAGCAGCAATCCTGTGCCCAGAAGACATTGAACCCTATGCCTCTAGCTAGCTCCATCGCCTTCCTTTCTTCTCCCCTCTGTTTAACCTTCATACCAATCAATTTGTCTTTCCGTGACTTCACCTTGCCAGGTATCAGAGCATCTGTCGTTCGGAGCGGCACTCCTGTGCCCGGAAGACATCACCTCCCGCCCAGCCTCAAACTCCCTTCACTCATCTCACGTCGCTCTCCCCTTCTGCTGTGTCTGCCACTCACCAACCTCGCCTCCCACAGGTATCAGAGCATCTGTCGTTCGGAGCAGCACTGCTGTGCCCAGAAGACATCACCTCCGCGCACCAAAGGCTGGTCCGTCCTCCCCTCTCTTTTCCCCACTCTTTTCCCCACTCTTTTCCCCACTCTTTTCCCCACTCTTTTCCCCACTCTTTTCCCCTCTCGCTCTATACACCCTTTCCCACTCTTTCTATGCGCCCCTCACCTCGCCCGTCTCTCATTTTGCCCGTCTCCCTCATGTATGCACCCCTCCTCCTCTGGCTGGGCTGTGTTCTGACATTTCTCCCCCGTCTCACAGTCACTACCCTATCCTCCCCTGTGATATGCTGCTCCTTCCTTCCTCTTCCATTGGGCCCACTTGCTTCTGCACGAGAAGTTGGCTTTTGGCTAGGAAAAGAGTAAAAATCAGATCAAAAATCCTTCTATATAGTCACTTTCCCCTCTTGTATGCCTGCTGACCTTTCCTCTCCCATAGGCACAGCTTGGTTCCTCGTCCTGTTCAAACTCGATGTAGATGCTGCAGCTATGTTGTCCCTACCCAACCCCTTCAAACCCCCTCGCTCATATCCCACATCAGGCTACGACAGCAGTGTTGGACCTGCAGCGAGCCACAGAGAAGCTCAACTGGGCGGTGGACGTGGATGGCACATATAGCCTCGTCCTCCCCTCACATGGTCTTCATGACCCCTCCCTCCCTTTCTCCCTCCACCATCCCACATCAGGGCACGACAGCAGTGTTGGACCTGCAGCGAGCCACAGAGAAGCTCAACTGGGCGGCGGACGTGGATGGCACACATAGGCTGTTCCTCCCCCACTCTCCCCACCGCCCTCCACCCTTTCCAATCTCTGTCCCTCCCACTCTAACTCTTTGCACCGCAGGGCACGACAGCAGTGTTGGACCTGCAGCGAGCCACAGAGAAGCTCAACTGGGCGGTGGACGTGGATGGCATGAACCGGGCGGCAAGAGACGCTGGGGTGATGGTGGTGCACCACCCAATCAGGTCAGCTGCTTTTGCTTGCGGTGCTGATGGATCTGGGGCGTTACTGCATGAGGAGGGCGTGTGATGTGGATGGGTGTGGACCAGGGTCTATGGGGCAGGGGATGTGGGGGTGATGGTGGTGCACCACCCCATCAGGTGAGCTGCTTTCGCCCCTTTCCTCACCCTACCTTGTCCCTCTCCCCACCCCCAGGCACCACGACGGGCATGACTTGAGGCGGAAGCTCCCAGTGGCAGTGGGGATTCTGCACCGCCTGCTGCGCCGGGGCCTGCATGTGCTGGTGACGGACACAGATGGGGTGGACAGGGCGCCAGCAGTGGTGTGTGCGTATCTGCACTGGGTGCTCGCCATCCCCTTGCCCCAGGCTCTTCACTTCGTGTGTGACGTCCGCCCCTGCCAGCCCAACCGGTGAGCCACGGGTTTGTGCAGTTTAGTACGGTTCAGTGCGGTTCTGCGTAATAAAGTGTGGTTCAGTGTGGTTCTGCGCGTTTTAGTGCGGTGCAGTGCGGTTCTGGGAGTTAAGCTGTGGTGGCTGCATGTGTTGGTGACGGACACAAATGGGGTGGACAGGGCGCCCGCAGTGGGGTGTGCGTATCTGCACTGGGTGCTTACCATTCCGTTGCCATAGGCTCTTCACTTTGTCTGCGACGTCCGCCCCTGCCAACCCAACCGGTGAGCTGTTTAGTATGGTTCAGTGTGATTTTTTGTGGCTCAGTGCAGTTCAGTGCGGTTCTGTGAGCTGAGCAGTGTTGGCTGCATTTGCTGGTGGCAGACAGCCCATCCCATTCGCCCACCGATCCTCCCACCCATCCTCCCACCCATCCTCCCACCCATTCTCAGGGCGGCACTGACAGCAGCGACATGGGATGGGATCTGGTGGCCACGACTTCTCCTTGCCCTCTTCCCTCTCCCTACTCAACCCCTCCCGTCCCTCCCATTCCATCGTCCCACCCATCCTCCCACACGTCCCTTCCATCTTATCTTAATTTCAGGGCGGCACTGGCAGCAGCAACATGGGATTTGGTGGCCATGCTGCGGCGTGGGGTGAGGCACACAGGGCCTACCACCCACCCACCCCACTCTCCGCCCTCCCCCTCTCCCATTCCATCCACCCTCCCATCTCAGGGCGGCACTGGCAGCAGCAACATGGGATTTGGTGGCCATGCTGCGGCGTGGGGTGAGGCACACAGGGCCTGCCACTCATTCGGTGCAGATCGCATGGAACCATGGGGGGCGCGAGGTGAGTGCAGCTTGTCAATGTACGGTTACCAGAGAGGGTGGTTAGTGGTTACCACCAGAGAATGTGGTTACCACAGACTGCCCCACCACTCACTCGGCGCAGATCGCATGGAATCATGGGGGTGCGAAGCCGTCTTGTGTAGTGTATGGTTGCTGGAATGTGTTGGCCAGAGAATGTGGTTACCAGAGAATGTGGTTACCAGAGAATGTGGTTACCAGAGAATGTGGTTACCAGAGAATGTGGTTACCAGAGAATGTGGTTACCATAGAATGTGGTTACCATAGAATGTGGTTACCAGAGAATGTGGTTACCATAGAGTGTGGTTACCATAGAATGTGGTTTCCACCGACTTCCCTGCCACTCACTTGGCACAAATCACAGTGAATTACGAGAGCTCGACGTGAGGAGGGAGTGGGCCCCATCTCACACCGATGTAATTTCCACTAAATTCCCTTCCGTTCCACCCATCCCGCATGCAGGTGCTTCTGGTGGGGGAGCTCTCGGGCGGGTGGAAAAACCCAGTGGCGGCCACTCCAGTTGGGGGTTCCAAGTTTGTTCTCGCGCTCAGGCTGCCCCTCGGATCGTGAGTCTCTGCTTCTCTCTCTCCTCTTCCGCCACGCCTGTGTGGTGCCGAAAGGTCTGCCTTTTACCAGTCAGTCACCTGCTCAAAGTCTATTCTCTTCTCTCGCTCACACTGCCCCTCGGCACTGGCAGCATGCAGCAGCAGACCTGCTTCCTCTCACTCTCTCTCTCTCTCTCTCTCTCTCTCTCTCTCTCTCTCTCTCTCTCTCTCTCTCTCTCTCTCTCTCTCTCTCTGCACGGCACTCCTTTGTGCATCACCTTCCTCTCACCTTCTTCTCACTTCCTCTCCTGGTGCAGTTATTGCTACGAGTTCATAGTGGACGGGCACTGGCGCCATGCAGCAGACCTGCTTCCTCCACTCCCTCTCTTGATTTGCGCTTCTTTCATGTGCCCGCACTCTTTTTCGCACTCTCTGCCCGACTCTCATACCTCCCTCCCCCCCTCTTGTAGCTACCGCTACAAGTTCATAGTGGACGGGCACTGGCGCCATGCAGCGGACCTGCCCACGGAGGTGGACGAGTGGGGCAACACCAACAACGTGCTGCACGTGGGGTCGCTGGCTCGCCACAACAATGTAAGTCTGTGCTTACGTGTATCTGTATGCTCACACAACACTTTTGAGGCGCCTCAAAAATGCCCACACAACACCAATTGTATGCTCCTCCACACATCTCAAGTGGGGCAACACCAACAACGTGCTGAACGGGGGGGGCCCTAGCCCGGCACACAAATGAAAGTCGGTGGTGCTTCAGGTGGGTGTCACAACACCAACAACGTGTTGCACGTGGGACCGCTGGCCCCGCACACCAACATGAGTCTGAGCGCCCACGTGTCTCTCTGTACACACGTGTTTGCACACAATTCTGGCTGAGGAGCATGTGAAGGAGATCTGCCCACGGAGGTGGACGACTGGGCCAACACCAACAACATGCTGCACGTGGGGTCGCTGGCTCGACACAACAATGTAAGTCTGTGCTTACGGCTGAGGAGCATGTGAAGGAGATCTGCCCACGGAGGTGGACGAGTGGGCCAACACCAACAACGTGCTGCACGTGGGGTCCCTGGCTTGCCACACCAATGTAAGTCTGTGCTTACGGCTGAGGAGCATGTGAAGGAGATCTGCCCACGGAGGTGGACGAGTGGGGCAACACCAACAACGTGCTGCACGTGGGGTCCCTGGCTTGCCACACCAATGTGAGACTGCTCTGCCGACAAGTCTGACTGTGAATGGTCACCTCCACAATCACCCACGTTGCTCACATGCGCTTGACTGTCCCTTCGTCTGCCTCTCTCCCTGTCTTCCTCTCTTCACCCGGTCTCCTGGCTCCCTGTCTCTTCACCTCCTTGTCTGCCACTCTCCCTGTGTCTTTTGAGCAGGATGCGGTGAGGGAGAGGGTGATAGAGCGCCCTCTCACGGACCTCGAGAGGCGAATGGTCACCTTCGCTTCGCAGCGCGTTGCTTTTTCCGTCTCACCCATCACCTTCACGCCCAAGCTCAGACCAGCTCGCTCTTGAGTTCATTCTCAACGCTTCTCTTTGGTTAATTCTTACAGCTTCTCATCGCCCTGCAGCGCGTTGCCTTATCCGTCACACCCCGCCGCTTTCAAGCCCAAGCTCCGCCCAGCACGCTCATGAGTTGTGTTGGTTGCATCACATTGCCTCATGAGCAGGGCTCTCGTTAGCAGACTAATTTAGTCTGTTGGTCTAGGTTTCAGGCGCGAAATGTATCGTTCATATGCTGTGGCAGACTTTAGCTTATGGGCAATATGAGAGCCAAGACAAATGCTATAGCGTCATATGTTTTTTCAGGAAAATTATAGCAATTCATCTGATCCAGCAGAAATCGCGTATTATTTTGTCTGAGACAAAATGGCCCAGTTGGCCAGAGGAGCAGCGAGGTGTTGCATGTGAAGGCACGCGTAATGATTTTTGCGTGAGGGCACGGGGGTGAATTTCGGATTCTTCCTGCCAGCGCATTCTGCATCTGACTCAGTTGCTGCCACGCATCTGTCGGGTAGCTGTTGTCGGCGCCGCTGCCAGGCTGTCGCCCCTCACCTCGCTGGCAGAGTGCAAGGACAGTCGGTGCACATCAAAACAAAGCATGCACACACCTTCGTGAAACCCTCGTGAGAGAGGCGCGGCGCGTTTCGTGAGGTGATGGTCCTTTCCCTTCCTATCTTCTCCAAGCCTTTCTTTGACAACCTGCCTTCACATTTCAATCTTTGACGCCTAGCCCGAAGCATACCTATCGTCCCGTAGCTTGTTCCCGCGTACCGTCTAGAATTCCTTTCTTGCTACTGCCTCATGTGAGGTGATACACCACCTCACACCATGCTATTTGGCGCCCTCGAGTCAACCGACAGCGCTAGGCGTGATCCACCCGGGGTACTTGACGAGCCACGGGTTTCTGCGTCAGATTTCCTAACCCGTAAAGCTCCGGCAGCAATTCCTGTGACCACCACTGCCGCAGTCGAGACGCCTCCGCCTGTAATTCCTTCCCCCAACGTCATCACATCCTGCAACGACGAGCCGCTTATCCCCTCGCAATCTACGTCAGACGCTACTGAGACTGCGACCCAGCCTAACCCGGCTGAAGCTGAGTCTTCGCCGCCGCCCGTTTCGGCATCTGTGGCCACAACTCTACCGGCGATTTCTGTTTCTCGCATTAGAGCACGAAACGGCAAATACAAACAGCGAATTCTGAGCTTTGCCCGTCCCACTGCAGGTGTCCCGCCAGCAACCGTCCCCCGCTTTAGCACAACTCGCCCGGGCCCGTCACAACCCGTCGACGCCAACGACGACGACAAGTATCCGCGCGCCTTGACCGTCGAGCAGTGGCAGCAGAAGGCTAACGAGAAATGGCGAAAGCACTTCCCGTGGCTCATCATCTCGGAGACTTCATGGGGTCAACCTTGCATGAGGTGTTCAATCTGCATGGTGCACGGAGACCCCAGTGTCAGAGGTCCACTGGTGATCCCTGATCGATCCTAGGGAAGGGTTACAGGCACATTTGCCTGGGGGGTTATGGGCGCACTGACCCGCTACTGAAACAAGCCCTTTTATCCCAATGGTCTAGTGGTTGGGATTCTGAGATGGTATCAGAGCGAAGGTCTCGGGTTCGAATCCCGGTGTATGCACTTCGGGCATCCCAGTGCGGGGGGGTGTCAGAGGTCCACTGGTGATCCCCGATCGATCCTAGGGAAGGGTTACAGGCACATTTGCCTGGGGGGTTATGGGCGCACTGACCCGCTACTGAAACAAGCCCTTTTATCCCAATGGTCTAGTGGTTGGGATTCTGAGACCCAGCTACCAGTACGGCCGCAATGGAGAGGGTGGGGTGGACATTCAACGACAGACGATGCGGAAACATCAGCATTCCATCAAGCATGAGGCGTCAATGGACCGCCAACAGCTACGTGACGGCAAGAATGCTGCTCAGAAGTCGATTGTCGACTTCGAGAATGGTGACGAGGAAGCCAAGCGTTTGACAAAACTCCTGGCAACAGTTATTTTTATTTGCAGAAGCGACTCACCCATTGTGTTGTTTGTGACTCTGGTCCAGTTCATGGCAGAGATGGGCACGCCCGACATGCCCCTGAAGGATTCCGGCACCTACTACAGCGAGTATGTGTTTTTTTTTTTTTGCGGGTTTAGGGTTTCGTTGAAAACCACGGTACTAATTACCTTGTCACTGGTCGTTACAGGTACGGATTTGCGCAGTTGGTTGAGACGCTTGTCATCTACCTCCGTGCTCAACAGATGAAGCACATCCGAGATAGTCCTTACCTAGGCATTCAATTGGACGAGAGCACGGACCGTCGGCGCGGGAAGCACCTAATAGTCTACTTGTCGTTCCTCCGCAGCAACACTCCCGTCACTGAATTTTTCGCGCAGCTAATAATTGAGCAGTGCGATGCTGGTTCCCTGCAGGCAGTCCTTCTAGCCCACCTGGAGTCTACCGGCCTCAACCTTGAGCGCATCAGTGGCATCAGCACTGACGGTGCAAGCGTCATGGTCGGTTATCAGACGGGCCTGGTGGCACGCCTTCGTGGGCGGATTCCACACCTCGCAGGGTTCCACTGCATCGCGCACAGGTTTGTAACCCTGTGATGTTATGCTTACCTTTTAATCGTTGCATATGTATCTAGCTTGTTGCTTTTCCGTGTTGTGTCAGGGAAGCTTTGGCCGCAAAGGATGCAGCAGAGGCCTTCCCCGACCTTGACATCGTCGACCATGTCGTCCGTTCCTTAGCGAAGCTCCTTGGACGGTCGGGCAACTTCCACCTACGCTTCAAAGAGCTGCAGGAGGTGCTGTGTGAAACTAACCTGGAGTTGCAGGGCATCCACAGCGTCAGGTGGCTTTCACGTGGTCTGGCGGTGCAGCAACTGGCTGACAACCTTCCAGCTGCTGTCATACTGTTGTACGAGAACGACCCGAAGGCGTACCTCCTTGTAATCAGTTTGAAATTCCATTTCATGCTGTTTTTCTTGGCTGATGTGTTGAAGGAACTCAACGCACTGAACCTCAAGTTCCAGTGACGGTAGGTACGCTGATACGCCTCTTGCTGTTAACTGTTTTTAGCGTAAATGAATCGTGTTAATGAGATATTTACCCGTGCAAACCTTTCCACCTGTGAAGCAAGGAAAACAGGAATGAATGAACTAGCAGTGAAATGAGTACAAGTAGGAAACCCTAGAATTGTGTACCCCCTATAGGCTAACCCACTGTAGCCTACACAAGCATAACATATATAATGTTTGACACACCCCCATAGGCAAAGTGGGGGAGAACAAGGGGTCACAAGACCAGTCAAGCAAAGCAAAGCAAGCTCAGGGTGGATCACAAAGTCACCACACAGTCCGAGCACAAGAGGAGGGCCAGAGGCCAGTTTACATGCAGGAGTACAGACATATATATAAAACTAGACAAGCAAGAGCAGGTATATATATATATATGTCACAGTACAAGTGAAGTCAAGAGGAGAGCAAGTGAGGCAAGACAGGCACAAGACCCAGCTGGGTGCAAAAGCGCTGATGGTCACAAGGCGCAAGTGCCTTGGTGAACACATCAGCAGTGTTGGCCTCAGAGGCCACGTACGCAAGTCGCAACTGACCACGCTGCTGCAGCTCACGAGCAAGGAAGTAGCGGAGAGCAATGTGCTTCGTTCTGTGCTCCAAGCGCTGCTCTCGACACAAGGCCAGCATGGCCTTGTTGTCTACGTACAGCACTGGAGGAGAACAAGGCGGCTCTCCAAGGTCAGTCAGCAGGTAGGTGAGCCAGCGAAGCTCCTGTGCAGCCATGGCCCCGGCGTAGATCTCAGCCTCACAACTGGAGCCAAGAACCGAAGACGAGCGAGTAGACCGCCACGAGACAGAGCCGGAACCAAGGCTGAAGGTGTAACCCTGTGACGACCGCTGCGTAGCCTGGTCGTCAGCCCAAGAAGCGTCCGCGTGGCCGGTAAGGACCACTGGACTCCGCCCTCCAAGCACTAGCCCCATGCCCGACGTACTGCACAGGTAGCGCAATACCCTCTTCGCTGCAGCCATGTGCTCTGGTCTGTGTCTCCCAGGAGCAACATAGCGTGCAAGAATGCTCAGAGGGTATGCAAGGTCAGGTCGTGTGCAGGTCATCAGGTACATGAGGCAGCCAACAAGCTCTGCATACGGACCACTCGACTCTACGGACTCATCCGAAGGCAGAGCTGAGAGTGAGTGGCGAGTAGGCAGAGGAGTGGCCTGAGGCGAGGAGTACGTGAAGCCGAAGCGCTGAAGGACCTGCTGCACCATGTGTGACTGAGTCAAGGTAATGGTGCGGCGTGCTCTGTCCCGAGTGATCTGCAAGCCAAGGTAGCTGCGCAGTTCACCCAGGTCTGTGCACGTGTGTCTCTTCAGCAGCTCGGACTTCACGTAGGCGAGTCCAGCAGTGTCCGCTGTGGCAAAGACCAAGTCGTCGACGTACACGAGGATGTAGAACGGCGGCAGGGAAGTGTCGGTGCGAAGAAACAGCGACGGGTCAGCAGTAGAAGGAGCAAACCCAAGAGCCGCAAGCGTAGTCCTCAGTGTGTCGTGCCACTCACGCGGTGCCTGGCGGAGACCGTAGACTGGCCGTCGGAGGCTCCACTGGGTGCCAGGAGGGAAAGTCCCAGTGAAGCTAGGTGGACGGCGCAGCCAGATCTCCTCGTGCAGGCTACCCTGCAGGAACGCAGTGCTGAAGTCGAGAGAGTGAAGCTCGTAGTCGCGCTGAGCGGCTATGTGCAGCAGCACCCGAAGAGTGGTCATCTTCGGGGTGGGAGAGAAGGTCTGAAAGTAGTCAACTCCCTGCCGCTGACTGAAGCCACGAGCAACGTACCGCGCCTTGAAGACAGGTGGAGAGCCCGGCGGCCGCTTCACCCTGAAGATCCACATGCCACTGACGATGTTCGCCCCAGGAGGGGGAACCGCGTCACCGTGGTGCCTGTGGACTTCCAGGAAGCCATCTCTGCATCCATAGCTGCCTGCCACTGAGAGGAGTAGGGA